CCCCCCCCCCCCCCCCCCCCCACAAAACACTTTCAGCAGTACTGCACTGTACATACCCGTTACCCGCTTCTGTTATCTACAGTTGTATTACTGTACAAGAAGCAATGTTCGGTAATGCAAAAAGGGAAAAACGGCGTCCACCATCTTCTCAGACGCCGCGTCCCAGTGACCTGGCAAGTGTGGCTTGACGCTTTTTCTTCACCTTCTTCTTCGCTACCCCTTTGGGCAATCGCAAGCGCTCCCAAGCGGCTGGTCGGGGTCACCCGCCCTGCACGCTCAGCCCCCATCCGAGCACGATCTCAGAGCGATCTGCAAGAACTCGTCCCTGCATCTGTGGGGAAGCGTGGGAAAGCGTGCGCTTGTGCCAGCATCAGAATGTCTCGACTTCAGCCCAGCAGGGTCTGCTTGAGCCTCCAACAAGCCAAAGTAGCTGTAAGTCGCTGTACTTTGAGCTGCTTCAGTCTCTGCGTTGTCACTTCTAAGGTTAGCATGGCTAATTCAGGAAGAACCTAGAACGAACCAAGTGATTCCAGCCGGCATGAGCAATATCACTAATCTTATGCCGAGGGGAGGCGAAGACTCATTGTGAGTTTAGTCCTCGTCACTTACCACTCATGATATTGATTGAAGCCTTGAGAAGGCCTTCACTTCGTTGGGCATGGGGGTGCTGCGAGTATTTCATTTCATTCAGCATGCGAAGGAATTGCTGTATCGAGTCCTCGCCGTCGTCGGGTCCGAGGACCACGTAATCGTGAATCCCTATCGCCCGTACGCGGACTTAGCTACCTAGGATCGAGAATGCTCTGGCGGAGTCATCCTATTCGATCCAACGAATCGTCGCATCCTCATGATCGATGACTGTACAGTTACAGAGTCTCTATTCTGCTTGGGGACTTTTCGGGTTTTGCATTGTCCGTCGGCGCAAGTCGAACGTTCTGGGTCATGCAAGAAGTGACCTGGTTTGCTCGAGTATGGGCCAGAAGTGGTAAATGGAACGCTGGTGGCCATGCTGCTGCCGTCAAGTGATCTCGCCATTGGTCTGTCGAGGAGGTGTCTCTCCGCATCGACCTAGATCTACCGTATCTCTCCACCAGCATGTTGGACCACTCCACTCTCCAGCCACAATCGCGAAGCTGTTGCTCAAGCTCAAACAAGGTTATCGTGTCTTTCTTATCGCAAACGAGGCTGATGCGTCGCGATGTCGATCTCTTGCTGAATTATGCATATTCTCGCACGGAAGCCGGTACGCTTAGGTGGTGAGATGGAGATAGTCAACAGCTCGTAGGGCAGAAGGAGGGTCTTGCGTTGGGTGGCGAGACTGCTCGACTGACTCTCTCCACGCTTCGCTTGCAGGCTGCTTGGCTATTCTTGGAACGCCCCAGTGAAAATTCAGCCGGTCAAAGATTCTCATTGGGCGGGCAAGCCACCCTTCAGCTTAAAGTTCTGACAGATGCTCCGGAGAAAACCGATGTGTGAGGCTGTGCACCGCGGCAGCCTGAGGCGCTAAGGCCTGAATGTCTCGCGGGGCCCGCCAGAAGAATAAAAAGTTCGCAGTCTAAACTAGAATGGGGCCGATCCACAAAGCCCCTCCACAGAGTGGTGTCGCGCAGGGGTTCTTCCTACGTCATCAGATCTGTCAGTGCTGCCGGGATACCGAAAAAGTTGTGTGAAGTGCGTTGGGTGTGTTGAGGACAAGACAAGGAAGGACAATACCGGGTCGCTGCAATGCATGTCTGAACTGTTATGCAATCATGGCGCTGCTCCTGCTGCGTCCTGGCAAGGAATGGAATTTGCAATCCTCAGGATATATCAACATCTAATCGCCGCTGCAGGATTCGCGTTCTCGACTCCTACTCAAACTCCGAATACCAAGCGACGGATCCGAACAAACAACACACTCGTTCACCACAAACACGGCTCAACATCTGCCCAGCATACGTACTTAGGTAACCAGAAAGTACTGTACGAGTACGGGATCTGGTCTTGTCCGCATTATTATAATAGTAGCACATGACCACGGATTACGAAAGACTTTCTCAGCCACTGCGCTCTTCCACTGCTTTCTAAGTCCTCGATTTTCTCCGCCTACATAAGGGTGGCGATCTTTCCCTCCCCACTCGACTCTCAACTACGCACTATGTTAGCTTCACTACCGAACAACTCTCGTCAACGACTCCATCATCAACTTCCCTACTCTCAAACCATCACCATCCCTCAACAACCACAAGAACAACTCTGGTCGACGACGGCAACAACACACGCTCCCATCTCGACCCCGCAACCACAGTACACGACGGCGAGCAATCTCTTCTCCTTCGGACAAGATCAGCCATTGTTCGACTTCCAACCCCCTCACTACACCTCGAGTCCTTCTCAATCGCTGATGCAGTCTGAGCACTCGCACAACAGCTGGCTCGACAACGGCCAACTCACCCCTCGATCGACGACGAGAGCACATCATCGCGAGTCTTCTCTGTCTTCGCTGGGGTCTGCGGGCCCAGCATCGCCATATACTGCGAATACTTCGAATCCGCACGTTGTCGGCGATCTGTATCATGACTTTCATGATTTTCACCATAACTCGTCGAAGCCTCTAACTCCCGCACATACACCATCGCAGGAGCATTTTATTACACCTCACTACTCGAACTTTTACCATAACTCCAATCTGGCATACACAATGGGTCAGGATGGATTGACAAAACAACAGAACGGCGACGCGGAGTTGATGCCTGCACCTGAGTTCAACCATTCGGTCGGGCCGTCAATAACTTCAGTGGCAAGTCATGACTCACCGTCCACGCCACCGTCATACGAGGAGGAGAGGCAAAAGAATGGTGAGACTTCAATTTTCGATTCATGGCTAGCAGAATACTTACTTCATTGCCAAAATCAAGTTTACAGAAGTTCTGTTCCCAAACTCGACCGCACAATGACGGACGTTTATGCGGACGAACTCTATAACCCGAGTTTCCAGATCACCTCTGCTGCTCCAACCTCGACCCCGAGCATTGCTGTTTCGCCACAGAACGATGTATTCTCACAAAGACTTCAAGCGGCGACGAGCCAACATTTGAGCGCGAACACGCAAACCCCTTTGACAATTCCCTCGCGAGAGCGATCACCATTCCGCCAAGGGTCACCTCTCGCTCCTTCGGGCAATTCATTCGGCAATCAATCACCGAATGTGAGATTTGGGACTGCGACGCATATGCGCGAGCAGCAGAAGTTGGAGAATGATGCTCGTGCACTTCAGCAACAATTGGAAAGGACTTCTCCTGAGCACACGACCCCCAAGACAATCTCGCCAAAGGATGTGGACTTGGTCTACCACGAGAGCGAAGAGGATTCCAAAACACCTCTATTCCCGCCGCAACAGAACCAACGCCCAAGCTACCAGAAGCAACACCTAATGGCTCACGAGACAACCGAGTCCGATGACAACACATCGCAGCGTAGCTATGGCAGCATGGCAACTTCACGACGGGAAAGCTCGTCGGCATATTCAAACTCCTCGGTTCCTCAGCAAAGTAGCTTCAATTTTGCTCCTCCGTCAGTGCCAGGCAGCGTGAGGGTACCCCAACAGTATCCTTTCGTTCCTCAAGCCCGACAACAGCCCAGTAACTTATCGAATGTTACTGAGGAGTTTCCCGCGACGTTGACCTCGATGGAGTCAAGCAGTAGCGAGTATGCTCCCGAGTCTGATATCAAGAAGCCCGAGGGTGCAACTGCAAATTCGGGTGGATATTCCTGCACATATCACGGTTGTACTTTGAGATTTGAATCTCCTCAAAAGCTTCAACGGCATAAGCGTGAAGGTCATCGCAATTCGGCTTCGATTTCTGGTTCAAATGCGGACGAAGCTGGCATGACTTCTCGAAATTCACAGGCGGGGCCTCACAAGTGCGAAAGAATCAATCCAAGCACGAACAAGCCTTGCAACACAATTTGTAAGTATCCGAGAGGAAAGTAATTGAGAAACTAAATGCTAACATTTTCATAGTCAGCCGTCCATACGATCTCACCCGACACGAGGATACAATCCACAATGCCCGCAAGCAAAAGGTCCACTGTCCAATCTGCACCGAAGAAAAGTCCTTCTCGAGAAACGATGCTTTGACTCGACATCTCAGAGTCGTGCATCCCGAACACGCCGATCTCTCTAAATCTCGTCGACGTGGTGCTCGTGACTAAGACATGGGCCAACTTGAGTGTCGAGCATGACGAGTTGGGAGACCCCAGGTTTGGGCATGTCACATCACATCATTCGAAAGCGTCGAGACACGATTCGTGGCCCCACTGTCGCATATCAACACTCCACCACTCCACTCTCAATCGAAGTCAAAAAATCACAGCATGGCAGCACTTTAGACGCTGCACGCATCCAACATCAACATTTTCAGGGTCTTCCGGCATTTGCTGCTAGCGGCAGCAAATGTCGCCCATAACGGGAATGATGAGCGTCGACAAGGGTTCTGCTGCTTCACGACGCATTGGTGGTGCATGGCCCAGCTTTCGGCCTTAGGGTGCGGAAACAAGACAGTGGTGATGATTCGTCAATGGATGCACGAGCCGCTGAGGGGTTGCAAAGATGACATCATACCACGACATTTCCCCGGTGGAATGCTGGGATGGAGAGACACACCCGCACAACCACATTATTTCAGACATCATTATGCGCACGACTCTTTTTTTTCATCGTCATTGCGTCTACGTCCCGTTGCTTTCTGAATTTGGGCATAAATTGTGGCATCCCTGTCTTCTTACCTCGGGCGGAGCATGGAGCATCGGTGGAGCGTCATTCTTCTTGCTGCATTGGAGGGACCTAATTTAATTTGATGAATTGTTGTCTTTCTTCTTGTTTTCTTTGCACGGAATTGTGGATTCGGTCACCACGTGTACTATCTATGCTTTGTTACCACCTTCTTGTGTCAACAATCGCCTGCTGAGGAACAGCAGGTCTGGGAAAAAGCATGGGATAAAAACTAGATTGGGTCATTTTCCTTCTTTTCTTTTCTTTCTTTCTTTCTTTCCTTCTCTTTCCTCAGCTTGTGTCAGCTGTGTACTGTATATTGTCATGATGATGAATGAATTTTATGATGGAATGAGCGATTGATTGATTGATGGTTACTTATAAATAGTGAGATAGAGAAAGATGGGGTCAATCCCGATTGTACAGAATGAATTGATGCAGTAGCGAATAAATCGTTTTTGCACCACAGTATATTTATAATCAAATGTGATGATGACTCGTGATTCGGGATATACGGGGTATTGAGGCGAACTTCTGTTTCGGAGCAAGTGAGTAAGATTACCTTTGAGTTACGTATGCTAATCTGTTACGACAACTCAAAGCCTATTTGTTGAGCTTATCCCACCTTTCGTTTTCCTCCACATCGATGAATATGAGGCAGCTTTTTTATCTCCTTATGTTATTCAAGCTCATAGCAGTAAAACAGCAAGTCTAAAAAATCTCTCCTTTTGGTTCATATCTGCTGAATTGAGGCGAGTATTTAGAAAGTTTCTCTACATCGAGATCTTCTCGGACGATCAGATCAGAACAAGACATCCACAAGTCATGCGAAAAGGTCTTTCCAGGCAGTTGTAGTCAATTGGTACATGACAGCTTTTGATTACAGACATGTGGCGTGAACAATGGCTTTTCCATCTATCACATTTATCATATGTTGAATTTTGGGACCCTTGAGACAACCAACGCCATCTATCCAAGGATACCACGACATCTAAACACCATCACCCATTACAGCAGCCCTGGCATCGTTATACAACGGCTTGATCTGAGTCCACTTCTGGAACTATTAGACAGGTTAGTCACTAGGAGAATCAATTGTGGCGAAAAGGCTTACCTGGTACCAACCCTGAGCACTAAGAACCTCCAAACCAGGTACAGTCACCCAGCCAGCGTCCTTGGCCATTTGCATTAATGCTGTTTGACTCGGCTTGTAAGCCATCTCCAGCAATGTTCTCTGCTGGCTCGTATCGGCTTTAGGATGTCTCAGTAGAGCAGCTAGAACTTCTCGCATGTTCTGCTCGATAGGCTTGTCAGCTGGAATGGTACCGATAGCCACACGTGGAACATCTTCAATCTTCTCGGCAGCTTCTACCTGCGTCAAGGATAGGATGTTGAATTCGGCGGGGAAGGTCGCGATCATGACGCTGAGTTTTGATGGCGTGCGAGACACGATGTAAATTGGGCTATGGCCGAGAGATTGTAAAGCATAGATTGCCGCTCTGGCTGTACCGCCGCCTCCGATGACGAGGCCGCTTCCTGGAGATCCGGAAGAGACGGTTGTGTAGGCAGCGGAGTTGAGAGAGTGAGTCATTCCGAGCCAATCCGTGTTTTCGCCGATGAGACGTGGGCGACGACCTGGTTCACCAACAACGGGAACAATGGTGTTGACGGCCCCGATGCATTTTGCTGCATCGGTGATGTCGTCCAGAAGAGGAATTATGTCGAGCTTTAGGGGGATTGTGACTGAAGCACCACCAAACTCCGGAGAGCGAATGATTTCTACCACATCAGTGGCAACATCAGTTTGAAAGCGAGAGTATTCGTGAGGAAGACCGCTCTGGGCGAACAAGGTATTGTGCAGGGCAGGTGATCTTGAAGCTGAGATGGGCTTCCCGAAGAGGTAGAATAACTTGGGCTCAATCTCACCCAGCAGTGATAAACCTTGTCGAATTTCAGCCGCAGAAAGCTGACCGGGAGCAGCTTTGAATGGCAAAGCTGGATGGGAGACAGGAGTCATAAACCCATTGAGAATCCTGCTCAACTTCCCGAGAGTACCCATGTTGATTGCAATCATAGGGACATCATGCGCTGCTACCATGGTCGATTTGAATTTCGCAAGGTCGAAGTTGTCCTCCATTTTCTTTGCAGAGCCGACAAGTTTGATCACATCTCCGTACTGGAGAGCTCTGTTGTAGTACTGAACCCAGCCACCATTTTTCCACGACAGTTGTCCGCGGGGATCGTGGTGCGAAGCAATGATTTTCGAGAATCCTTTTGCCTCCGTGACACTCAGAAGTAACTCGTCGGGGAACGCAATTTCTAGATCGATGTATTCCATACCCATCCTCACTGCAGCTTTGTAAAGCTTCAGCGCTTCTTCTTGAGCATTATCTGGAAAGCGGCCACCCTGACTGACTGTACGCACTGTGAAGATCAATGGCAAAGCTACAATAGATCTCAGATGCGCAATTTGCACACTCAAGAATTCCACAGTAGGAATGCCATTTTCGGAATTGGGATCCTCAAGCAAGTCTACCCGTACTTCAACTGCATCGGAACCAACAGTGACAATTGGTAGTAACTCAGCAGCATCTGATATGTTTGGCATTGTCAGAGAGACGAAAAAGGAGTGCTTCTTTGCTCGAATCTCATCGAAATGAGCACTATCTCCCGAGATAAGTGACAGGAACCTAGCGAAGTCTTCTCGAGCTAAAGATAAAGCACCACTTTCTCCACTCTTGCTATGATATTGGAAGTTGCTGCATTCTTGAAACCAGGGCTTGCGGCGAAGATACACTCCCATCATGTCCTCGACATAGGCTGGTCGAGTCTTGTCGATTTGCAGATATTCCATGACCTGCTCCGTATCTCGATGAACAAGAAGCACGATACCACCGTTCTTGTGGTGGTTGAAAAGTAATCGGCGTGCTTCCTCGATTTCTACCACACCGCCGCCACAGGCGAAAATCCAGCCTTTTGGCTTTTCGGTGATCACTTGCTTCAGAAGGGCTAACTCGGCATCTCTGAATCCCTCCCAACCTTTTGCTTTGATGAGCTGGGGTATAGTCATGCCAACCACGCGCTCCAGCTCAACATCAAGATCTATTTGTGGTCTGTTCAAGATTTTGGAAGCCCAGGCACCAGCCGTAGTCTTGCCGGCGCCACGCATTCCGATGATGAATATAGACTTAGACGACAAAGCAGTTGTGCTTGGTGGCTTGCGATAGGTCGACTCCTTGCCGGCCAAGTTAATGTTAAAGGATAACGACAAGATGTCCCACCATCCAGGCCAAGTCTTTCCGACACACTCTCGTTCAGTGATCAAGACTGGTTTGGAGGCTGCAACGGCTAGAACGCTGAAGCTCATGGCAACACGATGATCATCGTAGCAGTAGACACCATCTGCTGGATCCGAAAGTGAAGTGTGGGGTATACCATCTATCTCAATTCCATCTTCAAGCTCCCTGCAAGTGACGCCGAATTTGGCAAGCTGATCCTTCATTGCAGCTATGCGATTACATTCTTTGACTCTTTGGTTGGCGATGCCTCGAATTCTGGTTGTTCCTTTAGCTACAGCAGCAAGAACAGATGCGGTCAGGAAAGCATCAGTCATTGGCTCCATGTCGACCTCTTCAATTGCCTTCAGTTGCCCAGGTGCAGGCCCCGTCACAGTGGTAGAGTAATCACTTTGAACCACTGTGCAACCCATGGGACGAAGCACTTCAATAGCAAAGCGTGCATCTCCTTGCAATGATTTGGAACCAATATTTGGAATCGTGCAAGTTGTGCCAGAGATAGCTGCGACAGCAAGAGGATAAGTTGCAGAACTTGCATCGCTCTCCACAGTATACTCAGGTGGATTTTGGTAAATGCCTTGTGGGATGTGATAGGTGTGTTCTTCTGTCTCTGAGCGCACGACTTGAATACCAAACGAAGCCATCATGGCAGTAGTCATATCGATGTAGGGTTGTGATATCGGCTTACCTCCCACTAGGCGGAGTGTGACTGGTCTCTTGGCATACGGTGCACACATCAGAAGTGACGACACATACTGAGAAGAGACTGTCGCAGCCAACTTGATCTCACCTCCTATAAAGCCACCAGAAGCGGGAACATCAAGGGGAAGACTGTGTTCCTTCTCGAGATACTTGATGGCAACTCCGTTCGCTCGTAGAGAGTCGACCAGAGGGCCGATGGGTCTAACTTTCATGCGAGCATTTCCAGTGAGGATGGTCGACGAAACCGAGGAAGGTTTGCACAAAGAGACGACCGTAGTCAAGAATCTCGATGCTGTCCCCGCGTTGCCGATGTAGAGCTCAGAAGGACTAGCTCTCAGGTCGCCTCCCTTACCTTGAACGACCAGAACCTCTCCAGCATCTTCCCAACTATAAGTTGCACCCCCAAGCTTCCCAATAGCGGTAAGCATGAATTCGGTGTCATCCGAGTGAAGCAAGTTCTTGATGCGGCACGGTCCTGTTCCAAGCGCAGCTAAAACCAAGGCCCGGTTTGATACACTCTTAGACCCAGGCGGGGCTACCTCCACCTTCAGACTCTTTGGTACTCCAGGGGAGACAATGATGGAGTCAGAAAGCACAACTCTAATAGCGCGATCTTCGACAACGCTGGCCTTGGGCTCGAAAGTTTTGCCAATAGCAGAGAGGAGGACAATCTTCTTCTTCTTGCCATCGTTCTTCTTGTCAACGCCCATCTTTTCAAGCAGGGTATCAACGGGACATAGCTTTCCTGCAGTAAGCTTCTGGATATTTCTATCTTGCAGAGATGTCGGTAGACCGTAGCTAGATATGCACTTGACAAGACGAGCTACAGCACCCGGTTTTAGCACACCGAGGTGGCGAGCTAATTCTGCTTCTTTGACCATACCAATAGCAACAGCCTCGCCATGTAACACCTGGGGTGTAAGAATAGCTTCATATGCGTGTCCTATTGAATGTCCAAAATTGAGAAGGTTCCTCAAGCCACCTTCTCTTTCATCGGCTGACACAACATGGGCCTTGACTTTCGCGGATCCCAGTACGATTCTCTTCAGAATATCTCGGATTGGATCAAGTCTGGTGGACGAATCCTTGGGCTTTGCTCGAATTGTTGCCATAATCAGACTTGCATTGTCCTCCAAGGCAGCAAACTCTTCCTCATCCCATATTGCTGCGGTCTTGACCACTTCTGCCATCCCGTTGATGAATTCGCGGACTGGGAGGGTCTCGAAGAACCGTAAGTCAATATAGATTCTTTCCGGCTGCCAAAAAGCACCAATGAGATTCTTTCCCAAGGGGGTGTCAATCGCTGTCTTCCCGCCTATTGAGCTGTCACACGCGGCCAAGAGTGTAGTAGGTACTTGAACGAAGCGCACGCCTCTCATGAAAGTGGCAGCAACGTAACCAATCATATCCCCAATGACTCCACCGCCGCATGCCACGATTACAGTGTCTCGCGTACATTGTTTTGAGAGCATCCAGTCTTCAATTTCTGCTTTTGTTTCTCTCCCTTTGGAGCTCTCGCCTGGAGGTATGGTATAGGTGAGCAGGCGAGGCTTCGTAGCTAACTTAGAAGCAAGTGCATTGAAGGATTGTTCGAACGTGGGCACGTAAAGGGGGTAGAGGTTCGTATCGGTAATGAGGACATATGTCGAGGAAGGGATGTTGGAAAGCAGGTCATCGGCAACGAAGTTCCGCCATAGATCAAAGTCGACAATGATATTCTGCAATTCCTGTCAGTGAATGCCAATAGACATGATGTATACAATAAGTTTTGTCGGCCTTTGGAGATCTTCAGGAAAGCAAACTTAGCAAAGAACAATGTGAAGAAGTTGAGCTTGACCTCTTTTCCTAGTATCGCAATGCGACTTGGATTTGGGGGAATTGCAGACCCCATCTTGATGGTTAAACCTCAAAATAGAGGGAAAATGATGGAATAAGGTTTAAGATGTTCGAGGAGGAAAATTGAAGTAATTGACAGTATAGTCGGCCGGGAATGGGGTGAGAAAGCTGACCACGGTGAGTCAGAAACGATTTTTATTATGAAGCTTTTGCTCGTTGTTGAGAGTGACAGGGGTCTGCATTAGCTTCCGAGATCGCCCCACCTCTAATCTTCCCCACACTCCGAAGTTGATGCATGTTTCTTTGTCTTCTGCACCCCTGAAAGTCTCACTTTGGCTATGGACATTCGAGGGATTCTCAGTTTGCCCTGCTGACTGACATTTCTTTACGCCACGAATTCAGAAGCCTGCGGATTTATGTATATTGAAAGTATTGACTACGACACTGGTTCAACGAGAATATTCCTGCTTCTGACCGACCAGGACTCAGGGATCTCGTCGCATTGCATGCATCTTGTACTGCCCCGCTCATAGGGTGACAAAAAATGGCAGCACAGGACATCAAAGACCCTATAAAGATAGACCACAGATCTTCTTCAGGGAATAGTTCGCCAGAAGCTGGTACTATGTCTTCAGGAGAAGCTTGCTAAGCATCATTCTCAAAGCTCTGCACATCTGTTCACCTTGCTTCTGTCTGTAATTTTGAGAGTGTTCCGCTCTTCTTGGCCTAGAAAATCTACTTTTCTTGATATTTCATTTCCGGATGCGAGTATGACAAAAGATTGTGTAGTCACACTTTCAAATTTTCTAAGCGCTCTCCACGGCCATGTCCAATGGCTATGAATGAAAATGCTGAATTGACACACTACGCTACTTTCCAGACGTATGACAGAAGTCGTGCCAGTCAGCTTGAGCAACGCAAGCACAGTGATTGTTGTCGCCTTGCCATACCCGACGGAAATTATTGGAGACTGTAACACAAGGACGCTCTCGATGCCAGCTCAAAGCTATTCTCATTTTCGATCACTGCCGTCACGAAGAGCGTAACGCACTTACTGTGCATGTTGACTTATGTAACCTTACTTTTATACATGCTGGAACGATCTTTTGATACCCATCAGCCATGCTTTCTAAGGCCTGTACAGATCTATGGGTGCACTTGTGTACAAGAGACTTGTAACATAATGTGCTGGTGTTACTTTTGCTGGCCATCATCATCACGTCCAGGTTCTGTTGGCGAATCCCATACGCATCGCACCATAGTCGTGCACCACAAATATCGACTCAAGGAATGGCACGTTCATATAGACGTATGAACCATCACTTGTTCCCTGAACAGCACTGTAGCAATTGATCCCGTCCGCCAGTGGATTGAAGATGAAGTTCTTCCCTGAGATCACAATCCGAGAATTTCCAACTCCAAAAGTAAGATTTGGTACGGCCGAGGCGCATGGAAAGTTCCAGCCTCCGTCCGACTGTTGATAGGCACCTTTCACTTGCGCAAAGAACTTCTTCAATATCGATTGCGGTAGCTGTGAGATGTTGCCTCCTGTGTCCACCATCACTTGGATATTGGTATAGTTGAACTTCTGGTCACCAATAGCGAAGCCTGTCCAATTGAAAGCCCAGAAGCCACCTGTAGTACCAGGAATGATCGTCACAGGTGTGTACGCAATGGTCCCAATGTATTTTGACGAGTCGATGAAGCCGAAGTCAATGGTTCCCATCGATTTTGGAGACAAAGCAACAGTGAACACAGATGCTATATTTATTAATTATGCACAGAACAGAATACGCGCCGGTGCTCACCTGGAAGCCTGGGCAAAACCCACGTCAGCCAGGTCTGCTGAGGCGCGGGACTTTCAGAGTCATTGAAGGCATTACTCAATCCCAAGACTCCATCTGCGCCTTCTAGATTTAAGAAGAATGGAGCAACGTCTTGAGCACATTCGATTGGATTTCCGCCAACGCCAATATTGTCGACCCAAACAGCATCTTGCCATACAAGTCCGTGAAGAGAGCCGGCCGAGTAGTCAACGCCAAATGATTGGCCTTGCCATCGAGTTGCGGTCGAAGAGTTACTACCGTTGTAATAATTCCTACCGGATGTCTGAGTGTCGGGCATCAACCAAGACCAGACCCAAAAATCTCCAGATCCGGTATCAAAGATCAGATTCAGCATTTGTTGCGGGCTCCCAATCCGAAGCGGAAAAAGGAATCTGTCGTCGAACATTATTGACAGTAGTGACACGTAAGTGAGGTGAATACTTACAGCCCATCACTTGTTGTTATGGTTTGTCCATTGTCTCGAGTCGCAAGGCCGGGCTCCTCACGTGACTGCAATCTGTTCCAAGCACTCTGGAGAGGTTCGGGCATCGATCTGTTGTGTTTTAGAAAACTCGCAGCATAGACCTCCGTGGTAGAAATGGCCCGTGGTCTCCATTTGGTGTTCTTCACCTGGTTGATGGTAAATGGCTTCAGACTCGTGGCTAGGGAGGAGCGTGACGCCGGATGGAATACTTGAGGCTCAGCCGAAACATAAGCCAAGAGGAGAACAATTAAGCAGCAGATGAAGCTTATGGAACGAGACATGTGATAGCTGCGCATAGTACAGAAGATCCTCGGGACCGCACTCAAGGTGGAGGGATTCTGGAGCAGACTGAATGTTACGCCGATGCTTGCCAGAGGGCGAGGCTAGAACAAATCGACATCTAGATCTCGAAGTAGTAGCACTTAGTATTCCCTGGTATCGTTGAGGATATATAACCATATGGCTTCATAATCAAGTCGCGAATCAACAATGTCTGGTTACCCAACGACATACAACAACATGGCAGATATTTGAATTGCATGAGAGAAAGAAGTTTGGCCAACATTTCACACGAGTCTCTCACAATCATAAAAGGGAACTTGGAGGGTTGGTCCACAAGCGGAAGATGTGCGAGCGGTGTGCCTTCGGTCTAACACTCCGGGACGATCAGCTTTCGTTGATCCTAGAAATATATAGCAACCGGAATTGCCATCTAGTCTCGTCGGTATGGGACATTCCGGGCACCAAAGAATCTCCCCTCTATCTGCTATAGGGGAAATAGCAGCCAAGACAAGCCAAAGCCGAGGACTTTGCATGAAGCCATAACCCCAAGATCCGCAGGTAGCGGACGAAGTGATAGCCAGTTCCTGTTCGTCTCGACAGGTATGATATAAAGACTTTGTCGCGGCAAGGGCCAAACGACTCGATTCGGAGGATTGTTGCCAGTACTTCAAGCAATCAATCTCCCCACATTTAGGCGCCATACAAGCGCAAGTTTATGCTGTGGATGGCATGGGTGGGGCATCGGCTTGCTTTGGCTGAAGAGAGTCAATTAACATCGAACTTAACAACGCGGGTATATTTTGCCTGAAGAGCAACACGAAGAGGATCAATTGAAAACGTGTCCTGAGATATACATCTGAGTCTAAGTCTCAAGTCCTTCGCTTGTGATGAGACGTAAGAGCAATCAATTCAAGCAAGGTAAAGGCATAAGAGCTTCATCATGCATCTCCTCATGGCTCGTGGTCGAAGAAGAAAGAATAATCTTTTCGCTGCGTTGATAGGGTGGAAGAGCGGCGGAGGCACGTGCTCACGTTCGACGTCTTCCAATTTGTTGGCAAATGGAAAGTTCGTGCTAGCAAATGGAAGTCAGATCTAGGCCCTCATCACAGATTGAAGAATATCGCATTTAGTCTTTCAGAGAGCCTCGTTAGCTGAGAAATTCAAGGAAGGCCAGACTTATGAAAAGTAGCTCCACCTTTGACAAGAGTCGAGCAGGTACTACGGTTTCTGACATTGAGGGATGTCTAAGTTTAACTGAGCTTCCGACAGAGCCACAACAAGTGTAATAGAGTGAGAAGATGGCTTCAAATTTTCATGCGTTTGATTGGGTGACAAGCAGAACGCACGTGCTCAACAGTGAGAACGACAACATAACCCCCATCTTTGCTGTTATCGCATTGTACGCCTACCGCTGCATATATTTGACGTGAGAATCTTGTAATGCTTCAATTGGTGTAGCTGACAAGACCGAACATGACATGTTGGCTGTGAAGCGGGTGGAGAAGAGTCCGAAGGGGTGCTGGACCTGTAAACGTGAGTGCCCTGCTTGGTGCCCTGCTTGTTCCGCCTTTGTTCATACCCCGTTGCTAAAACCGTGCAGGTCGGAAAATTGGTTGTGATAGATCCCTTCCGGCATGCTCTAATTGCATCCGAACCCAGAGAGCCTGCGAAGGTTATGGCATCAAACTGAGTTGGCCAGACGAAAACAGTGATGGACGACGAGCAAACCCTATCAAAGATAGCTGTTCTTCCGAACACTTCTTTTCATCCTTCCCTGCCGGTCAAATTTATTTCTTGAATACAGCGGACGAGGACTTGACTCAAACAGTGAAGAAGCCTCCACCCATCGCTATTACTAGATGGCAGTCTTCAGATCCCAGCAGAATTTCCTTTCATCCGCCCACCAGCCTTCCGTTTGGTTACGAGAATGTAACCAACAACCAAGAGTCCTTAGTACTTGCATATTGTACGGATCACTGTTCATACTTGTAGCATTCTGCTGATTAAATACGCCCAGTTACTGATGTTCTCTCTCGAATGGTCACCACCATTGACGATGCCAGGAACGGATTCAGGACTATTTTGCTTCCTATGGCACTTTCGGAAACCAACCACGCAACATCAGGACTACGGCAAGCGATGTTTGCGATATCCGCGTACCATCTATGGGGTCATGATACTGCTGTCAAATACAAGCTGTCAGCTATAAGGCATCTCTCGAAATCTTTCCAAGATGGCGAGGATGCAATTTTGCCGCAATTTGCTACTAGCATGATGCTGTGTATTGGCGATGTATTCGACTCAGTGGATGGTAGTTGGACGAAGCATCTCAATGCAGCAAAAGCTATTTGCGAACGGATTCCCAGGCACGGAAATCACGGCGATGATGTGTTCTTCCTCCAGACTTTACTTGAATATCATGACGTGCTGAAAGGATTCAGTACTGGACGCTATCCGGACTTTGCTGTTCAGTCTACTGTTGCTGGTGGAACTTTGGCCATGCCCAGAATTGGGAAAGAAAGCACGACCATAATCGGTGCTCTTGGGTGTTCCCGAGAGCTCATGAATATTATAGCATTGATCACCCACCTTCACAGCCTTGTGCCACTCAAGCCGGAGTTGATGACCTTGGCAACACTAATTCAGGCTCGACTTGAAACCCTCACTCAAAGCCCGCTCTTCGTCCCTGATACCAACGCCGGTATCCAGGACACCACTCGCGTTATGAGCACCGCTGAGCTCTACCGGCTCGCATCTTTAATTTATCTTCATACAACTGTTTTGCCGCTACCACGCTCGTCACCTCAACTCCAATCTCTGGTTTCACAATCTCTCGCTCTCTTAGAGACATTTGCAGTGTGTACTTCTCCATGGCCACTGTTTGTCACTGCTATCGAAGTCAATAATGATGTGGATCGGGTACGCGTCTTATGTGTGCTGGAAACTATGCGAAGAATAAGAAGAATTGGCAATGTTGATGTATTACAGAAAGTTGTGGAGGTAGTCTGGAAGCAAGTGGATTTGAAGGCCGATGATATTGGAAATGGCAATGAAGCAAGGTTGGATTGGAGGGAGTTTTTCGACATGCGAGACCGCTTGCCCAGCTTCATTTGAACCAAATACTCCCTGAAATAACGAACCCGCGAGAGATACACATCGGCACATGTAGGACTGGAGCGATGCTGATTACTTTAGCTTGCTATTCTTCTCCACAGTACTCCCGATATGTTACTTGAGATGGAAGGGTTTCGCCGCTATTGGATTTACGTTCAGGCTCAGAAGGTCCGGACGAGAATAATGACCGACTGTGTCGATCATCCCTTTTGCATAATCGATATCTCTTAAATCGATATCGGCTTGCATTATACCCTCCTTTCCTGGTGGCCATGGCTCACAAAGGGGTTTCCCATCTGGACCATATATCATTGTGAAGCCGCCGCCGGGCTTGAAAACAAGTCAGCAGGGGTACTTGTTGTTAGTTGATGAAGGGAATAATGGTTACCGTCTGACACACGCCGCTGTCAATTAGATTCAACTTCTCCAAGTTACCTTCCGTCAGAACCTGAGTTGCGACAAGGACGAATGCTTGACCCTCAATCGCCAGGAACTGGCTACACAATTGGTTCGCATTGTTTGTTTCATGGAATGGCCATTTTAGCTTTTTTGGATCCGGCAAGTCGAACATTGGCGGCCACGCAGCAACGTGAATCTATTGTTGGAAAACGGAATGGTTATTAGCCGGACGAGATGTTGTTAGGAAGCAGTAGTGAAGAAATGGGGAGCTACCTGGACGCCTTGGCAATATTCGTAGTATCTCAACAGGGGCTGAAGGTGCTCCCAACAGTTCAATGCTCCAACCTTCCCATACGGTGTATCCACAACTGAAGTCAACGAATCTGCCTGCCCGTCACCCCAGATGGATCTTTCCACATGCGTGGGTTTGATCTTCCTTCTATGAAGCACGATTTCGCCCTCGGTATTGATGAAAGACTGGGCGATATAGAGACTCGCTCCATCTCGCTCGCTGTACCCCAAAACCACAAAGACATTAGCATCCTTTGCGGCTGCTCGAATACGGTCCATTTCTGGAGAGGCCTTCACCATAGAATTCGCCATGTATTTGTGGATGAGTTCTGTGTTCTCTACGACACTGTTCACCCATATGGCCCTTAGTCGAAGTATAAGCAATTATTTGACACTAGTTATGAAGGAAAGTTCCTAGAAAGTCAGAGACAGAGAAACTCTTACCATGGGTATCCTGTCAGCCAGACCTCTGGAAATCCTAAGACATTGACGCCATCTTCTCCAGCTTTCTTAATCAGTTCAATCGTCTTGTTTACCCCTCCTTGGAGGTCTAGCCAAGCTGGCTCAGCCTGAACCGCACCAACACGTACTGTTTGTGTCATTACGAACAAAGTTACCAGAGAATGTAGGATTGATGGGTTTGGATCAAGTGCCTTTATCATACTTATACATCAAACAGTGATTCTGGCCGCTGCTGTGATTGGTTGAACTTGGACTTGAGCCGACATCCCATTTTCGGGTCTTTGCAAGAGTTTGCGATCAGTACAAGGGTCTCATATGGAGATTGTCCGTTGCCTGTACCGGACACTGAATATGTCAGAGCGGGATCCAAAGGGATTTGAATGGTAGCTTTTCTGATAGACCCGCTGCCCCCAATTGGTTAGCCTGATCGCAAACTCTTTCCCCTCCTTTTCCCATGTGCCACCCCCACATAACAGCACCACAATTAAGCGATGCGGTCGCAGACATTCTTATTGTAAGCTATTTCATCTACTAAACCTAGACTGCGAGCTTCGTACTTTGAGGTTCATATGCCGCAACAACTTGCGATCAGTACCCGCAGCCCCTCGAGCCAATAGCTTTCGCCGTCTCATGCTACTGTGAGACTATAGTGAGAAAGTGGAGAGTAAGCGGGCATGATATCCAACATCCAAGATACCGGGTCGTTCCCGGTCATCGTCCCTCTCGCTTGGGCTCGATATCCAAAAAAAAAAAAAAAGGACTTTCCCATTGCATGAGCAAGTCAATGTTAGCCAGTGATGAGGCAATCATAGAAAGAGTTTGCGATCTACTGTGATTTAGTTAAATCATTCAAACCCCCCAGTCAGTCTATGAAGTTCCTTGAGTGTTTTCGATTGAGTCTTACCTGCCTATAAGTATTCGTGAGGTGTGTCTTACCAAAGGACTATCTACACTGTCCTCTTCCTTCTCATTAATTTTTCCGAGCTCCCATCAACATCATGACGAAGTCTCTTCATCACACAGAGCGGCATGGCTCTGCTCAATTAGAGAAAAGCTTCTCGAAACTCAGCATGGTTGCCATGACTTTCGCGATTCTCAAGTAAGTCAACTCAGAAACGACTCTTGATATCTCAATCTAATTTACAGTACTTGGATCGCCTTGGCTGGATCTATCGGGATCGTCATGCCATCCGGCTCTTCTGTTGCATTTCTTTATGGGTTCATCTTCTGCGTACTGTGCAATCTGTGCCTTGCAGCGAGTCTGGGAGAGCTTGCATCGGCATGGCCTACAGCTGGAGGTATGCCGAACTTTACTTGAGCTAGCGGGATTGGTTACTCATGATTCTACAGGACAGTATCACTATGCTCACGCGCTCGCAAAGGAGAATTGGAAAAAATCGATAGTAAGTTCTAAGCCATTGCATATGATCTTGCCTCCGTTAACAATCCTCTTCAGAGCTTTTGGGTTGGTTGGACCAGCATTGCTGGCTGGTTGACTCTTGTCACAACAGAAGGATTCTTTGCTGGTGAGACATGAACATCAATTCTCAATGCCTGAACTTGGCTTCCACATTGGGTTGCAGAAGTTGAGGCTGGCAGATATGCTAACGAATGTTCCAGCCCAATTCATATCAGCAGGTGCAGTCATAGGATCGAACGGAACCTACCAGATCAAACAATGGAGAACGTTTCTTATATTTCTAGCAATCCTCACCTTCACAACTCTGTCCAATCTCTACGGCAACAAGATCCTCGCGAAATGGAATGATGGGGCATGTGAGATAAACATCTGTTCTTGAATATGCACCGCAGACTAACACGTCCAGTGTATTGGTCTATTTTAGCAGTCGTAGTGATAAGTATTACCATCCTTGCTACATCTGACAAAAACGATGCATCCTTCGTCTTCACGGACTTTAACAATGACACTGGTTGGAGTGACGGAACTGCATGGATCTTGGGACTTCTACAAAGCGCTCTCAGCCTTATTGGCTTCGATGCTGCATGCCACATGACTGAAGAAATGCCTTCCCCGAGTAGAGATACTCCCCGCGCTATTGTCTATGCCATCCTGGTAAGTTGGAATTTCCCTGCAAGTCCCTACATTTTATACTATCGAGGGATCCGGAGGAAGATAGACAAGTAGATGTGCACTTCAGTATACCTAATGCTCCCCCGAACTGTTCTACGGACTGTACGTTTGAGATGCTGACCTGACATCTTGGGTAGGTCGGAGGCGTCACTGGCGTGGCATTTATTCTCATTATCCTTTTTTGTCTTACAGATATCGACACCGTACTTCAAACGTCTACCAACATGCCCATCACCGAGCTGATCCACCAAGCAACGGGTTCTCGTGCCGCGGCAGTGATCTTGACCGTCATGCTGGCAATATGCTTCATCAACGGCACGAACGGATGTGTGACCAGTGCCTCTAGATTGCTCTTTGCCATGGCTCGAGACAAAGGTACACCATTCTCTGACTTTTTCTCGACCATCAACCCGCGCACACATGTCCCTTCGAGGACTATCATTTTCTGCTTTGAGTTTAATCTGTTGTTTGGTTTGCTATATCTCGGTCCGACTGTAGCTTTCAACGCATACGTTGCTTCTACCACTGTTTTCCTCAATGTCTCATACGCGATGCCAGTCCTCATTCTGGTCTTACGCGGGCGAGGAATTCTAGATCGTGAGACGAAAGCCTTCAGTCTAGGAAAGTACGGATATTTCGCCAACTGCGTGGGAATCATCTTTGTCGGTGTCACCTCTGTTGTGAGTTCCTTAATGCTCCAGACTCTCTTGTTATTGTGACATCTCTAATACCATAGGAACAGTTCTTTTGTTTCCCTGCAGCCCTGCCAACGACCAGTAGCAATATGAATTATGTCTCCGCTGTTCTCGGCATATTCGTGATCCTTCTCACGGGCATATGGTTGAGCTATGGGAAGCAGTACCGAGGCCCAGAATTCAGCATCATTCTGGGTGGTGGGAGCACACAGCCACAAAGCATTGAAGAAGTGGTGGTTGCCAGCGAAGGGAAGAATCGATCGGAGAAGACTTCAACCACTGAAGAGTAATATTGTCCCCAGATATCTCGATGTTCGGGTAGCTACTACAGGTTTTATCAAAGGTATATTATGTCTACCTTCACGTTCTTTCTAGATGAAGTTGTTCAAGTCTTTGCTTTGACCTCATAACACTTTAAGCCAGCCCCTGAACGAATCTCGCAAGCTTGCATCTTGATCCTGCTCTGCTTCGAGCAGATAAATATCCTACCTACCTACCCTGGAACTTAGGATTTGTTCAACAGGAAACAAAGAGGTGAGGACTACCAAGCAGAACTTACTTTATTTCTTCTCGATAACCGCATTGATTGTGCAAATAGCGCGAACTGCGTGGGTTGCGCTGGTTGTGCTTTTCGCGCATATCGTGCGAATCGCGCATTTTGCGTAAACCGTCTAATGATTATACCGCGTGACTGAATTCCCCAAAAACGCATACATTTTGCAAAATTGTCTGTGTATAAATAATGGACAATCCTATACCGCTCAATCTGAGGTGCAAGTGTAATGTTATTGTCTCTTATGTTTTATCGGGTCCCGGTTTCCCAAAACCGTTCATACCGCAGTTAACCCCCCCCAGCGTGCTTGCATCCTTGTGGCTACTGCCAATTAAGGCCATTATTGTTCATTTACTTTGGTCCACTAAAGAATACAGACCCAATATGGTGCTGTTTCGAGCATCTTGGCTCCTTGTTACCTCGTCTCAAGCTCTACTTTTCGTGTAATAGAAAATAACTAAAAGTCGTGTTACCCTATGAAAGTAATTACTTCTTTCAAGATACTTGTTCTATCGGCATTGGGACAGAGCACTAGCCCAAGGGAGACATACCAGGAGATAGTAATATCATAAGCGTTTCTCGAAGCGTTGATGTACACCCCCTAGACACCTTGACTAGTTTCTGAATGTCCCAACCCCTCCCCACCATCAAACCGCTCGCAAGAAGTCACTTGAGATGAGTTCAAATGCAACCTTGAGGACAAACTCCGGCCCTCTTTTATATCTTCATTTCACGTGACAGTGCGCCTTCCCTCTGACATGCTCCGCTTTAAAACGCCCTTGACTCACGGTCGGTCGAGTTAATCATGAAGCATTGAAAAATGAAATATTGCAAATTCGAAGTTGTGGCAAAGATAGTTCGACTATATAACACCCCAACCCAGTTTTTCTCTCCATCTCTCCATAAGTTGAGCTACAGCACTCAGACTTCAAATACCCACCTCATCACCAACAATGGCCATCCCAACCCCTCAAAAAACAGTCCTACTCCTAATCGACATCCAAGCCGGCTTCGCCCAAAACCCCTACTGGGGCACAACCCGCTCAAACCCCTCCTTCGAACCCAACGCCTCCCTGCTCCTCACCACCTACCGTAAGACCCTCCTCCCCTCACCCAACCACAAAATAATCCACGTCCACCACTCCTCCATCCACCCCACATCCCCTCTACACCCCTCATCACCGGGCATGCAACCAGCCGCCTACGCATTGCCGCTCCCCTCGGAAGAACCCATCTACTACAAAAGCGTAAACTCGGCCTTCATCGGGACCCCTCTGTCAGCACTGCTAGAAACGCACTTCGGGGCCACGGGAGGGAGATTGTACGTAGCGGGTTTGACGACGGATCACTGTGTTTCAACGTCGATCAGGATGGCAGCTAATCTGTATGCTGCGGATGGGAGAGATGAGCAGGGGAAGGTGATTGAGGGGAGGAAGGGAGAGGTGGTTTTGATTGAAGATGCGACTGCGGCGTGGGCGAAGGGTGATTGGGATGCGGAGACGGTGCATAAGGTTCATGTTGCGAGTTTGAATGGGGAATTTGCTAGGGTTGCGAAGACGGGGGATGTAATAGGGGAGTGGGAGGCGTTGAAGGGTGGTGAGTGATGAATAGTTGGTTGAGCTGACTTGATGTGTTTTGCTGCACTACAGCGTGAAGTGACATGAAGAAAAAAAGAATTGAAGTAATATATCACTCGACCAAGAACACCACGAGCATAGACAAGGTAAGAAAGTCATGAAATCCTTACATGCATTTTACTCGATCTAGCTTCGGTTTAGCACATCAAATGTCGCTGGAAAGAAGAAGTTCGATTCAACGCAAACCTCACTCCCCAGATCAAAAACTATCAAACCGTGTAACGCCACCACCATACCATCTCCAGATCTCGTAAGCCATATTTACAATGCAGCAAAGATGCCCCAATCGCAAGAGCGCGCAAAGGAAATAAAAGTATGCCTGCAAAAACTTTCGTAGCTTGCTTCGATCCTTGATGCTGATCTGGAAAGAAACAAATCCATAAGAGCTGATGATGCTGCTAGGTGAAGCCATATCTTGCTCCAGTTTTGTGATTTTGAGGATCTTCGATCAAAATTCTGTACTCAAACACTTCACCATCTTGTTCTTTTATGTCAGAGGGCACTGGAAAAGTCGCTCAGGTCGCCTAAGCGACTTTTCTCCACCTCAATTGTCGTAACGACCGTTGTTTTGGTCTTCTGTTTGATGTTCTTCTCCGTCATGATGCAGGGTGACCGAATTGAACTCTTCAAATGGATCTACAACTTCGCCAGCAGGCGTGGCCAGGCCAGAGTCAAGTGGGACACCCTTAGGTAATGGGAGAGCTCTGCTTCCACTGATATCGACACTCTCGCTCTCCTTCACATTTCTGAAGTTTACGGTGTCGATACCTCGTCCTTGGTGTGGGATCATCGGTGGCTTCATATGTCTGATCAGAGCCCACTGTGTTGTGCGGAAGAATGGGTGACCCTTCACATCAGATGCTCCAGCTCTAGCTCCAAGTCGTCGGTTCTCGTCCTTGATGAGGAGTTTTCGAATCAAAGACTTGCAGAGACTATTTGTATGTTAGGAGGAGGAGCAGGTAAGGCTGGGATTTACTTACTTGGAGATTTGCGGTGACCCAGAATGCTCTGGAAATGGTACATCATCCCTCAGAATGTTGGCAAATGTAGCATTCCTGTTCTTGCCCTTGAAAGGGGTGGTACCGAACAACATCTCATAAATCAATATGCCCAAAGTCCACCAATCCACGGCACTAGTGTGTCCGCAGCCCTTGATGACTTCAGGCGCAATGTACTCCTCCGTGCCCACAAATGAGTTTGTCCGAAAATTCGCTATACACGATTTCGTATCGATGGTAGGTAATGAATTGGTATTTGCACCATTTCGCCCGAGAATCATAGTTGGCTTTCCACCAGGATCAGACTGCTTCGACAAATCGAAATCTGATAACATAATGTGCCCTGATTGGTGAAGTAGAATATCTGATACACTTAGCAACTGGTCTGATTTAGTATTTGTCTGGGAGGCTTACTCTCTGGCTTCAAATCTCTATAGATGAAACCCATCAGATGGAGGTACTCAAGAGCTGCGGTGACTTCTGCTGCGTAGAATCTAGCATCATCTTCGGGTATACACTTTCCGGGTCTCGTCTGTAGAGCTCGGAAGAACTCTCCACCACTGCAATATTCCATGCACAAGTAAAGGTGGTCCTCCGATTGGAAAGAATGGTATAATGTGACGATGAAGGGGTGGTTGCTCGTGGCCAGGATTTCCTGCTCTGCCAAGGCCCTCTTGATCTTGTTTCTCTTGATCATCTCCTTTTTGCTCAATACTATCTCCAATTAGCTCAAGATCGCCGAACACCCCACTGGAATACAAACCCTTCATAGCGTAGAGCCTGCTGCTCTTCTTCTCTCGTACTAAATACACCTTTCCAACATCTCCCTTCCCAATCAGCTTGATCTTGTCAAAGCTTCCTGGACCAACTTCAACATTTCGTACTTTGATGGAATTCGAGCTGTATGTTCTCCTGAATGCCATCACATTTCGCAGATTCGGTGGTTGCAAAGCTCCCAGGCCATCCTGTGCTGGTATACCTAACGTGCCACCATTCGTCTTTGCATCCACCAACGAGAGCATGCTGGTGCTTGCATTTTGTGCCAGTGCCAAAGGCTCCTTACCAAGCTCAGCAGTGGCAGGTCTATCACCGCTTCCCTTTCCTTTCGAGAACAAGCCTTGTGCATTCGGTGCACTAGCTACTCTCCTCAATTTCCGTGCTAACTCCTCCTTTGATGCAATTGTAGCTTGGTCGTTGGCTCCTGAAACAGCCTCTACCTTCAAGGTCGGGGTATCGGGCGGACTCGGGGGAACTGATCCTTCATTGTGATGTCGTAAGGCTGGCGGACCCTGGTGTACGAAGTATGGATTGGCATGAGCTGTAGGGCTGACACCATCATCCAACGCATTACCTTCACTTGCCACGGTAGTCGATCGATTTCGACCGGAACCAGGAAAGAATTTGGATTGTCGGAACGAGCTCTTGCTCTCGGATTTCATGGAACCTTCCTTCTTCTCATCGTTGCTACCCAGGCTATTTATTCGGAAGAAATTCTTCAGCTTCTGGGGAAATGGGCTGTGGCCATTGGCATGCTTGTTGGACGACATGGACGTTCCGGAGAGATTTCGTTTCTCGTTCTGGAGCGAGTTGGGGGAGGAGGAGTGAAATAGAGCGGTCATCGAGAACGACCGGCAGCGATCACGAGCGCTGCTTCTCGTGTTGTCCAAGGAGAGGATGTATGGGATGGGATGGTCTGGTCTGGTCTGGTCTGGTATGAGGAAGGAGAGAGGGAAGATGGAGTGTCGTCGACCCAGTTGGACCGTGCCCGGCAGGTTGCTAATCACGGCGGTGCGGTGCTGCTTTCGTACTTTCGTAGGTGACGGCGACCCTGGCTAGGAAGAGTTTCGGAAGACCGTGGCGCAGCGCAGTACTGTACAGAGCAACGAGCCTCGTCTGCTTTATTGGGCCATCATTCGTGGTTTGTCAGGTCGCAATTAATTGCAGTCAGCGACAACACACGTCTACTCACGATGCTGAAACGGATGAAGGTTGAATTGTTCGGGAGAGGGACAGAAGGAAGGATGGATTGAAAAGTGGATGGAAGACAGTCACAGGCGCTGCAGGCAGGTAGGTTATCTCTGGTGTCGGGTATGACCTAAAACGGAAGCTGGGCGGGAGTGGATTATTTAGTTTCGTTGCATTCTACGGTCACTTGCGCTGAACTGCACACTCTCTGTACCCTTTTTTACAACAGTGATCCTCAGGAATTCGGCACGATATCAGGCTTAGAAATCCAAAAATGTCGGGCTCGTCCACGGGGCATTGGAGGGTTTTGGCGGCGAGCGAGGCGAGACGGCGGGGAGGACGAGGACGAGGACGAGGGAAAGGAATGGTGTAAGTTCTAGGTCTTCTAGACCTTCTAGCCTGGACTGCTAGAAAACCCCCCATTGGTAGGAACAATGAATGCATCGAGTTTGCTGTGCTGGATCTGATTATCCTTTCCACTTCGTATCATCTTCTCATCTCATTCTCATCCATTCTCATCCATTCTCGTGATCTTTTACGAAGACAGTCTCCACTCATGTCATCAGCAACGTGTCTCCAATGTTACATATAGTCAGAAGAGGAACAAAAAGTATACATCAGATCTCTCATCATCTGTCTATCTATCTACATGCACGTCGCCCACCCGCAGCTCCCCAATTTCTCAATACTTCGTAGCTCAGCCCAGCTCCGAGTCCAGCCCCATGCGCCGTCAAGTCCATCCATCCTCTTCCGACCAAACCCAAACCATTTGCAACCCCCATTCCCGAATCCAGTTCTACGGAAGCGCCAAGAGAAAAAGGAAACCCAACACCACATTGTTCCATTTGGGGTGATCTTGCAATATTTTTGTCGCCGCTGGCTTCCCTACCATGCTTGCTTCTTCCTCTCACTTTCTCCGGCTCCAGCTCCAGCTCCAGCTCCGGCACCTCACCTCACCTCACCTGTTCCCCAATCTCCCCATGCCAGCATGTCACTCACCCATATCGACTCGTATCCTGGTCGGTAAGTTCCACAGGTAAAGTCCCAGAACGGATGGGGATGGTTCAACATGGCTACTGTACGCCCAGCGGTTATCGGTACGGAAACCCGATCGCTGCATTGCATACAGACTCGTACATACCAAAGGGAAAAAAAAGGGGGCGCGCGAGCAATTGGCGAATGGAATGGCAAATGCGGCAACGGGTATCCGCAACGTGATTTGTCCTGAATAAATAATTCTTACCAATCCTCGACGACAAAGGGTGCCGATGATATCATCGTACAGCTATCTCGAGCAGATCTCGATCGCAGCAGTTAGAAGTACAGTATGTGATATATCAAGATACATTAAGCTACTTTGATAGCAGTACGAAACACGGAGCCGGAGCATAGTGATGGTCACTTGGAGCACAAACCCTATCTGATGAGAGACTTGAATAACACTCGTGGTCAGCCTCGTCGTTCTATACAGCAAGCAATACGCAGGACAGCGTTAAATACACATTTACAATCATCAATAAAAGCACGAGTAGCGTGCTTGTCTAATCGACGCTGCTGGGATACACCACCTGGAAATTCTCCTTGAGGACTGTGGGACCTTCTCCTGAATATCATCTTCAATCGCTACACCCCGCCACGTCAGCTAAACAACACTCATTGGCTGTGATCTTGAAGTCAAGAGCGTGATCAAGGTACTGCCGTCCTTCTAGAGAAAATCTCTGCGACATTGACTTCTTTGACTGCCGACCGATGCGAGGTACTAAAATCAGTTCGCCATAGGTAGATAAAAGAAAGACATGCACAGTGCTGAGGTCACATAGGAACCGGGGGGATTTAGTATTTTGCATCCATTAATCTACTCGGTTGCCCCTTTCTGATTAATTGCCATATCGAATCGCATCGCAAGACCACCCATAAGAAGGCCAAAGCAAAAGAAAGCTAGCAGCTATCTCTTGCCACATTTGACCCTCCTACGAAAAAAAACGCAATATCCGCCCTGTTGTACAAAGCACAGAAGAATGCATCAAGTAAGTCTACAGCCATCCAGTATGTCTGTGGAGAAAATACTGTCGAAAACAGAAGGAAAACAGGACTGCCAAGATCAATACCACCGTCGAACGACCACCTATCCATATCATATCGATGCTCGATGCTCGTCGACCGCAAAACCACCATTGAGACAGTTGATCAATCCACCACGACGTATCAACAGCCAACTAAGTCGATATGAGAGGAATTGTATGTTGGCCCAGTGCAAAGAAGCTCATCAAAGCGGTGCCAAGCTCAAAAGCAATAGCTCGCCAGCTGCTCAGAAAGCTCGTTCGTTCATGAACCCCAAGCGCGGCAGTCAAACAACGTAAGCAAGCTTACCAATCGGAGCCAGTGATGGGTCCAACACCAGTAGTATTGGCGTTCCATCCTTGCTCGATGATTCGCTTGTCGTTCTCCTCCTTGGTAGTAAGATATCTCATGTAACTCTCAGCCTCTGAGGTAGGGGCAGCTCTTGGGATTCGCTCCGAGTTGAATGGTCGATTTTCAGGGAGGAAGCTGGTAGCCATGGCTTGAGCTGGACCCGAGAAATGCTTCGAATCACGCTTCGAACCGCCATTCTCTCCATCCGAGTCCGTGTGCTGCATGTTCATAACAGCCGGGGCAAGCGAGGCCGCAGCAGATCCACGGTATGGGGGCAAGTAGCCCTGAGCCGTAGCAGAAGAGATCGTACCGGACAAAGCACTACCGACCATTGGGGCCTCCTTCTTCAAGATGTTCTGCAGAAACAAGGTTTGTTGCTCGGTGCTGTGTGGTTGATTAGTGTCAATTTCACATCGGGATGGGAGACGGCTTACTGTCTGAAGTTGTCTACACGCTCCTCATATGTCTGCTCTGGGTCCGTGGTGTTGGCTTGGGAGCCAAGGTTGATCTCGATAGTTGAAGAGCTTACTTGGCTGCGAGGTGATCCGGAGAGGCCAGGATGAGCGTTGTTGAGAGGCGTACTTTGATTTTCGGGTTCAACCTTCCAAGAGTCCGGAGTGCATACTTTGTCTTCATCACCTTCGGTGTCGGGAGTTTCTGGGTTCTGAGGAGTCACGGGAGCATAGCCATCGACGCCCTGCTTGGTATAGTAGATCACAGTCTCCTTGATATCGTCCTTGATGGGAGATGGGGACTTGTATCCGGGGGCACCACGTTCGAGGAAGAGAGTAGAGAAATCTTGTTCGGAAGCCTTGGCCGAGCTAGCAGTGTTGTAATGCGAAGTACGTTGATGATAAGCTGCTTCTGCATGAGGACCAACGGCATTCGATGCTCCGGCTGAACCATCACTGTACGAGGTTCCCCAAGCTTCGGAGGTTTGCGAACGGTTGGTGAAGACTGGCTGTGCTGGAATGGGTCCCTTAGTCACAAAACCGCCGTTCAAAGTTCCAGGTGGTGGTGATGGTGTCTTATAACCAGGATACCATGGAGAGGCGAACAAGTTGTCGAAATTTGGATTCTGATTATTGACAGGAGTCACAACACGAGGAGGAACTTGACCAACTTCTGCATTAGGTGCGACGAGGCTGACTTTGCCCTTGACCGGGGATGGCGGATAGAAGTCCTTACCATCGAACTTTGGCAGTCCGCTCTGAACAGAACGTGGTGCTCTGCCCCAATACAGGAAGCGAGCACGAAGTTCCTCATTGGTGAGTGGGCGACCGTATATGAAGTCCTTGGCCTTGGCAAAAGTTGCGCTGACACCATAAGGCAAAGTTCCAACGAGATAAGGAACGGAGCCTGGTGGCATGGCAAAAGTTTCCTCGGGCGCAAACTTCGTTGGACCATGGTAGGTACTCGATCGCTGCATAGGTTGAGCACGCTTCTTGAATGGCTTTTCAGGAAGGGGAGGGCCGAAGCTGAAAGTCAGGTATTTATCATTCGCAGCCGAAGTCTGACCATTTCCATTCTTGACAGCAATCGCCTTCAGTCTAGCCATGACTTCGGCCTGCATCCGAGGGTCGGCATCGAGCATTGCAATGTAATCGGGGCTTGGAGATGGCTCAATGAAGGGAGGTTGAATGTTATTATCGGCAATGGTTCGCGGGCGAGGCTGGAATGGTGGTGCTAATGCTGCGGCCATAGTCAAGCGGGACTTGCTACTCGGCTCAGTGCGTGCCTTTGTACCATCCTTGCCTGGGGCGGCGGGTGCATATCCATTCATCTCAACCTTCTTGGAAGTAGCCATTGAGGACGAGACGACTACTGGCTGCTTGGCCTCAAGTTCAACGGCTTGGGTATTTGGGGTAGATGTTTCCGTCAAAGAACCATGAGAAATGCTTGCGCTACCGCCATGTGCGTTGCCGCTGCCATTGGTGCCTTTGACATTGCGAGCACGTTGATATTCGATCATGGCTTCGATGTTATTGATCTGCGCCAGAAGGAAGGTTCGTTGATGTTCCATGAACAATTGATCAGCCTGACCCTTGTTGTTGAAGATTTGATCCTCGATATTCTTCAATTGAGAGCGCATGCCAGAGACATGAGACTTGAGTGCTTCGGGATTCAGTACCATACCGGTCATTGGCATCGAAGGAGGCATTGCGGGTATACCCTCTGACTGTTGACCTGTGGAAAAGACCATGGAGTTTGGCATGCTGGTCATTGGAACAGGGAATGAATTTTGCATGAATCCTGCAGCGGACATTTGCTGTGAAGGAAAGAAACCTGGATTGCCAAGCATGCTCACCGGATGAGAAACATTGCTTTGAGGGGCGCCGACTGGGAAGACCCATTGGCCGTTGTACATGAAAGGTCTTGACTGATCGAATTGAGCTGGCGGGGAAATCTTGATCAAGCCAGGTTGAACAACATTACCACCAGCATCCGCGTGCATGTTTGCCAGCGCAGAGCCATTTTCAAAGCCAGGATGACTCGGTTGGGGGTACGACGCCATGCTGGGCATGGGGAGCAAATTGCCTTGTGGGAGCAAGCTGTATGGAGGCGCGAAGGTGTTTGGAGTCAAAGGTGCGAAGCCAGAATTCAACTGCGCGTGGGGAAACCAAGGCGCGGATTGAAGATCGTTGGATTCAGGTACGGACGTTTGGTTTGCGAGATCGAAGCCAGAGTTGTTGTCGTTGTTGTTCCACTCTGGAGGTGGCGCGGTAGCTCGAGTGTTGGGGACAATTCTGCCACCAGCAGTAACGCGAACGTGAGTTGGCGATACAACAGCGCGGTAGAATTTCTGAAAGTTTTCCGAACGTTGCGCAGAGTTGTCAGTTGGTGCAGAGTGTGGTTGCGAGGAACGGTCGGAACTATCTCGTCGACGCAAAGCCCATTGATGAAGGCGACTCGATTCTTGCTTTCCAGGCGCGTCCGGGAGAGACTGGTAATCACTTTCACGCGATGACTCGACACCGCGTCTGCGCTCGGTTTGATGACCCTCTACCTTTTTCGTCATCTCTGCTAGCGCACTTGACTTGCAAGAGAAATTTTCAGGGTCTTTGCGGGCAGCTTCTGGAATTTGAAGGACGGAATCTGCAGGCAGGAAAGTCAACAAAGGCACGAATGCACAAAGACGCCAGAGCAAGCTTTGGTTTTGAACATACCAAATTCCAGCTGTGGATTGAGCTTCTTAATAGCACAGATCACAGAAGGGAGTGAAGTCCTCAGATGGAGCAGTTCATCCGTCGTGTACATGTACCTCGGCGCTCTCTCAGTGGTAGTAGCCGTAGAGTCTGTAGAGTCCATTTTTGCGCCCCCTACTTGTCAATTGTCGATTAGCCGAGCTCAGATAATGAGTGATTCAAGAGCCAGCAGCAAGCAAGTACCTTTGATGCACTCTCCGCAAGTCTTGGACGTCGAATTGCAATGATAATGCTGGACAGAGACGAGTGTGTCCTTCGTGTGCGTCTACAGCTAGTGAACAGCCCGGAAGCTGATTGTGGAGGTTCTCGTGTTCGTGTGACTGGAAAGAGCAAGTGCTAGCTGTCACAGGTCCGGTTCCTGAGGCTTCACTCCCACGTTAGATGGCGGCCAAGAGTATTCTGGACAGGCAAGTGGTTGTCGAATGACGAGATATTGAGGCAGCGAATGAATGTAGGTTTGGAGAGGTTGCTGTTCCTTGTTGTTGAAGAAGAACGATGGATGAGGACTGACAAGGTGGTCCTTAAGAAGGTCAGCTAGGGTGACTCGTGTCCCAATGTGGCAGTCGCAACCAAGCGGGTGGCCGCCACAAGAAAGAAAGAGCAAGCAAGCAAATAGTAGGTAGGTGCACAGAAGTTACCCTTCCACAAAGAACGATAGGTGTATGTAACGTGCAAGTCCACTAGATGGTTCAGTCAGCTTGTGCACGATTCAACATCGAGTTGTCAGCTGCGTCGTACTGTGTATAGTGCTGAAGCCAGCTTGACTCTTGGTTGAGTTGGTGATGCTCAGCATATCACAGGCGTTGCAAAACATGAAATTGGAGTGCAAAACACGTAGAAAACTAGACGTACCTTTCTAGATCTGTTGTTTCTATTAGTCTTGTTGTTGTGTGTGCTAGAGAAGATCTGACAGTCGCAATGATTCTCCTTCTCTGGTCAGGAGTAGAATTGACCTCTGGCGATGACTTTCGAGCTCGTTACTAGAAACGTGTCAGAGTATCTTGAAAGACAGCACAGATACCATCTCCAGCGTTAATCGATGCAAAACATCTGATGTGGAAGAGAGCGTGTTTGAATCCTCAGGTTAGGATGAAAGAAGGAAGCGAAGTTGATGTATGAGGTTGGCTATGTTGTCTGCGCAATGATGTCGTTGTACGCTTCTGTGCGAGGATTTTAGGTGAATTTGCAAAGTTTATGCATCCATAGCACGCCGTTGCGATCCTGACAGGGGTCTTTCCTCGTGGGGATCAGTCTTCTCCCAAATCAGCGGCAGGTTGAGTAGGGACTTACGTGATGGTATGCTCGTGCTAAAATGCGAGCTGGGTGGTATGGAACCTGCTATCCTTCTAATATGGAAAGCGTGCTTGCGTCTGAGTGTGTTTACCTTCGCAAGGTTTGTGGAGATGTTCTGGAGATCTTTTTCCTGCGTGACTCGAAGCTCATCGAATAATGGAAAACGAATAGACAGAGCGTGACGTGCTGATGTATTGACGTGTTGATGCCTTCACGTGTAGATCTTGGAATCTGGTTTAAAGTGGCGGAAGGACATCTTGTGAGTTGAGGGTCTGGGTGGTCTGTTGGCGGGGTATGAGTCGCAGCACGGTGTGAGTTTAGATCGCCACGCCGACCATTGAAATCGGCAACCGGGAGCTGTCGAGGCTATCTGGTCTTGGGAACTTGTAGATATGCAAATTGAACCTTCAAATAGTTTTGGGAAGGATAAGGGGACTTTTCCGTGCCGAGTAGGATAAAGATCGTACTGTGAAAGGACTGTTGGGAAAGCATTGCTCAAGTGGACCTACGCTAGCAGCTGCGAGTAAAGCGACAAGATATCTATCAACCCAGACAGGTCGATCATACTGGCAGCCGGTGGTGAAAAATTGCTCCCAGGACACTTATTTTTGTCTAGAGACCCGAGATGTAGCCATCTATACTGAGGATCTCTAGAGTTCTAGTCTGAGTGATCATTTGAGAGAACAAATTTCGCTCTGCTAAATTGAGAAAGAAAGCTCTTCCGACTGAGAAAAACCAATAACAAGCAATGGTTTCTGGGCAATATGCTACTAAAATACAGAAACACAGCCATACCACTTCGACGAAACACTAAAACGTTTGTTAAAGTACATACCAAGGTACTGTGACTGAGTTGAGCAAACCGCCTCGAGAATAACATTGAAGTTTCTCGCTGCTCTGAGTTCCATTAAAGTCTTGCTAGAAACTACAGGTCAAGTCTGGGACAGATAGTCCAGTCGACTTACATTTCGAAGGTAAGAGAGAAACCCTAAGGAGGAATGAGGTATCTGAAGCAGCTTCAAGACCTAGGTCTCGAATGGGTACCCGCAGCCGTCTGTTCGAGAGATACCAGACCCACACAATGTTCGTTTCATAGAGTCAAATGTTAATACCATCCTAGGTTCACTCTCGAGGGTGGTCCGCGATATCCAGCCAGTTTTGAACCATCTCACACACTTCACAAGAGTTTTCGCTCGTGGTCCTACTGTCTAGGGTGCTCGTGCCTCTCCGAGTGCTGTGTTGCCAATGACCAGAAAATCATTCCGCATCAACAGCCCGTACCTAATGCCAGATTAACAATCGACCTTCTTGCTACAATATTTGAGGAGGTATCCATGTTGACGACTACCTGAGGCTGGCCGAGATTGCCGCAGCCGCTCTCACGCTCAAAGGTGTCGTATAGGCATGGACAGTATGTAATGTATGTTTGGTTGGAGAGATGAGAGGTCTGCCGTGAAGCAGAGCATCTCCCCACATTTGATGACTAATCATACACCTACAGTACACTGTGGTAGTCTATTTGGTACGGCTCCGTCAACCAACTCCCCTCTTCACTCGTCAATATCTGCGCCTGTCGTAAGACTTTCGAGTGCAGCACTTCTATCCGGATTTCTATCATTTATCATATCTTGAGTCGTGAACAACGCAGAGGTCCGAGTCCAGAAGGTTACGGTAGGCCACTGCCCAGACTACAGACAACCATTGCCATCATGCATCGCTGCTGCAGCAGTGTATGCTCTGACAGGCTCGATCACTGCGTCCTTACCGATTTCGATACTCCTCCCGGCCCGGCCAATCCATTGACGGACGACTTTGCTGGACTGAACGCCTGGAGCAAGCTCGCACGCGCTGCAGTGCCCCATTCTTCGCCCTTTATCGCAGTCATCGTGACAGGAGGCTGTCGAGATTACTGGCACGATTACCACTGATACTCCGACGTCCCCCAGTGGGGTTCGTCTGTTCATGCAGTGTTCAGCTGCTTTGGCTATGAGGGAAAAATTCTCCGCGTCAAGACGAACCTTCGTTTTTGCAAGAGTGCTCCCGGTGGTACTTCAAGAGACTTCGGATGCCTCTCGATGTGACATCGTGCTTCATTGTCTCCTGCTGGCGAACCACTGCGGTGGGAATCTGGTCAAACTACATCTCATCCTCGTCTACCCAATCGGGTTGTTTGCTAAATGACCCCGTTTGGCAATATCGTCATCTTATGTGCACCGTATTCTTGTTACGAGATGTTATTTCAGTTTATCTGGCAGTATTACATTTGACAGCAGTTCGGCACTTCTTATGAGTTGCGTTATGGCTACTTTGAATTTTCCTCCAAGCATATTGCTCCCTGTGGAGCCAGAATAATTGGCAGACAAAATCTTCCACTTTCCAAAACTCTCGAGCTAAATGGCCGAGTTCGCAAATTCCTCATTCTGATTTGTCTGGGCTAATGATGCCGCCTCCATTCGCCGGAGCTCAAAAAACCTCCCCTCACTGCATTAGCTCCCGCCTGTCAATTATGAGCAAATTAGAAGTAATCCCCAGCAAATTTCCCCTTGACAAAGAAAGGTCGTCATAAATCGTTACGCATCAGATACCAGTCCAAAGAGACAAGAATAGACAACCCCACAAATATCTCGATCAGGTAGTTCCGCCCATCAAAAGACCCATACTCACTCCGGCCGCCAATATCGAATGCCAATCTTGTTATTGGAACCGTGGAACATCATTCGTGATGCACCCCGTAGGCCGGACAAAGTGAAGTTCATTCAAGGCTGACGCCACTCCCTGGCCAGCTTCCGCCATCCGCTGGAGCTTGGAATCCACTTTTGGGATTTCTCGGAGCGTCAACTCTTTCCATCGCCGTCAAATTCACAGCAGATGGTCCCGTTGCCGTAGGAAAGGCTTGGGTTGGCAGGTCTTTCACTGCCCATCCGCTGTCAAAATCGCTGGCAGCAATGATTTCCATGATCGTATAGTGAAGGGAGCCATTCTCGAGCTGCGGCACGTACACTTCTCTCGAGATACGAAAGGAACCTGGCATGGTGGTAACGTCTGAATCACGACCATCTGCCTAGTATGGGTTAGCATCGTTTCTTCTCCTCCTCCTCCATCAAAATTCGAGCATCTCCTGGAATTCTAGGCAAGACGTACAAGGCAATGAGCACAGGGGGCTCCATTCACCCAGACCCAGTGCGGACAATTGTATGTCAACCAGTATTTGCACCGGTACTTATAGTAACCTCCAGAACCACTCATGTTGTTGGACTACTACCCGCTGGTAGTAAAGCGTTTTTACCGACGCGTAAAGCGCGGGTTGGGGTGATGGAAGAATACCTCGAAGGGAATTCAAACAGCTGAGAAAACAGCTGCAGGTTCTTGTAGCAGTCAATTGATAGCACTCGGGATGCAGGAAGGCGGGACCTCAAAGTCAGGAAAAAGAAAAGTGATCTCAGCTAGGATATATAAGATACGGCCACCAGTGCACCACGGAACTCGACCAGGTCGCAGGCCCTGGTAACTGTCGTGCAGCCCATGTCGTCGAGCAAATGAGCCCTACCTTCCCTGCGACCCCTACCTTCCGTACAGTAGCAATTGCGGACAGCGCCCGTATCGTTCCCAGAGTTCCCACAGTCCCACGCGTGTCCAGAGCTTCAAATCATCCGAGGGAAAGGCCAGGGCTCGTCTTAAGCGAAATACGCCTGGGATGCAGGACAGGGAAATGGGTGGTCGGGGGCATCGAAGTCTGCTACGAGTACCAACGAGAGGTACCTACTTACTCCACCGCCGTGTAGTGTACGATACCGGCTGGTACCAGACTCTGAACACCTCCACCTCCAACACCACCACCACCACTCGCACCACCCTGCAGACAATCATGTCTGCTTCTTACAATGCCAATCCTGCGCTGTTTCAATCTGTGCGGCGCATCTGACGGACGGAAATTTTGCATTTGGCCACGGAGCTGCTCGGAAGCTTATCAGATGCAGGGAACGCTCGCGAGCAGGCTCCACCATTCCCATCATGATCCAACGGCTGCTGGCGCCGTCTGGAGCAACGTGAAGCAAAGACGAAGATGGCCTCTTCAGGCACGCCAGAGTGGTACAGTAGCAAGACAGGAGTGGCAATCAGTAATATACCGGCTGGGAAATCGGACGTTATCAACAGGGTTAGCTACTGACAGCCCCAATCACGGCGTCTTCCAGAAGCCAGACGGCAATTTCAAAGCGGCATCTCCAAGCCGCAACGAGCAATGAGAAACGAAAGTGTGGGCATTGAGCATTGAGCAGTGAGCAGTGAGCAGTGGGCAGTGAGCAGTGTGCAGTGAGCATGTCTAGCTCGGAAGCGGGTTCCTGACGATTTTCTTACTTACCCACATCTCGTTAGAATCCATCCGTTTCCCTCTGTCGTCAGTGAGGCCTCGGATTTCATGTCCGAAGACGAAGAAAGAGCAGCAACAGAAGTGGGCGACTATCGTTTACTTTCTCCCCTCGTTCTCGTCCATCTCAAATAATGTCGACATCGGCTGTATGGAGTTGATTGCCGTTCTGGAGAGTGCTGGACTCATTTGAGAAAGTTAATACAGTACAGTACATACAGTACAGTACAGAGAGTATCCGGTAGCATGTTCGGCTGCGGTGAAACTACTGTCGTGATACCATGGACCCTGCCCTGCCCTGCGCGGACGAGGAACGCCCTGGGAACTCCCACCCTGGCACGTTTTGTGGCCTGGTCCACACCCCACTGCATCCACCACCAGCAGTGCAGAACCCCATCCACAACGCCTCCGTCTGCCGTTGCGTCTCGAAATTCTGAAGCCTCCTCCGCGAGAAGTCCTCCCCCCCTTTCCCGCTTGCATTGCCCTGCCCTGCCCTGTGTACCCTTCAGCCAGGTCAGGGATCAAGACAAACGCCTGCAAGGATCGCACTTGCGCTTCCCACGTGAACGGCATGCAACGCACAGAGAGAACGCTGTCAGTGCGCGCTGCTGCAGTAGAGCCTTGCTCCCGGAAGTCAAAATCGTCTTCCTCCTGGAGCCCCGATTACAAAAACGTCCCTATCCATGCGGCATGGCGAAGTTTTTTTTCTCCCGCACGATGATGACCTAACCGGTATTCTTTTGCCAAGTGTGAAAATTTCAAATGCAAAACGCACGCAATGCTCATACAGTACAGTACAGCCGGCCCCCGCTCACGTCGGCGACTCGAGCTGGATGGATCATACAGTAGAGGGGACCTGGTTCGAGCTTTGGTCTGGAGAGGGTCAGTGTGGAGTGGAGTCGGGAGTGGGGTTGGTTTACGGAGTACGGATGACCCACCGTACTTAGCATTGAGAACCAATTGCTGCTGCTCATCGACGTTTACCACTTGAATCTCCAAATCACTCTCGCTCTCACACCCAAGGCCACTACGACGCTATGCTTAGGCAGACCACCGTGCCAGGCCAGACCATGCCATACCATGCCGTGCCATGCAACCCTCGACCATCCACATGTTGGAAATTGAGCCTTGAAAATATATTACGGAACAAAGGGCAGAGGAGACTGGGGTGGTTCGGGTCGGAACATGGCCTCTCGGCTCACTGTGCGGTAGCTCGCCGTTACCTGTCCGGGCCGTTCCATAGGTTGGAGACTTGCTTTTTTTGATATCATTCTCACATATCACCACCATTTTGGATGCTTGACACAAAGGGTGCCGTCCTGCGTCAGACCATATATCATCACACTCTGCTGAATGTGATCCTCATAGCACAAAGGCCACTCGGCGTTTGTGTTCTTTATAGCGACCGCTGCTCGGGTGCTGTTCTTGTCACAAGATGTGATCACTTGTAGCCCTCGTCCCCACCAGGTATCAGCTCAGCTCACGGATGAAAGAGCCTCATCTCATCCCACATTTCCCTCCATATGGATCTTCTTTGCCTCCACACTAAACACGATCGGTCTTCGCCTTGCATGGCTACCACACCTGAGAAAGCACCAAATCGGTGGAATACGATCGAAATCGACTTAATATCCTCGCCTCGACCGACTACCCGGTCTCCAACCCCACCCACAGCGTTTCTCGTGGTTTTTTACTGTTGCGATACAGCAGCGAACTGCGTGTTTTGGCGCATTCGTCCACGGTGTCATTGGCGAGTTTCCTGTGTAACTCATGATAAGGGAGGCCTGCGGGTTTGACACACGGGAGGACACGAAACGACGGGATCATGCAGCAGAGCCCGCAATCAATATAGAGGTGTCAGACACATGCAAAAACGGCAGTCCTACCAGAAGATCCAGCCTCGAGAACGCCTTGGCCTCGCTCAGATGTCGCTCAACACCAACTGGGCCACAGAATCTCCAGATATGGCTCTGAACAATATTTAGCAACAGATACGTGAGACAGGAGAAGATAGTCGAGGCTGGCTGTGGCAGGAAGCAAGTCGCCCAACGAAGTCGAACGAAATCAGACTGATCACATTTGTTCTCCTCATTCAATATCTCAAACCAGTTCAAATATCCCCAACAGCCCGCCCTGTGCCGGAACACGACGTAGGACAGCCCCGCCACTCGACTACAGTCCACTTGTCAAGGCAGATGACGCAGATCTCAAATATGTATGCATTGCAATACAGCCTTGCGCCTCAGGTGAGCTTGATGAAGCACAACATACAACTCGGATGTCTTCCCATTCGCTCCTACCAGCCTCTGGGATCGCACTCACGATCGATTCCTTGATTTGACTTATGTAGCTTGAGACTTACCATATGGTGTGACAGTCAAGCCCATACAACTCGTATGCAGAGTGAGATTACCAAGCTGCTGGGTCCATCAATTAAAGGAGAGGAACTGCCACCTTCCCAATTGTCGGTGGCTTCTCGAATCGGTTCTTTCCTCGTTAAGGTTGATATATCAGTACACATGGCCGCTAATCAATGCAACCGACTACTTCTGGACACATATATGTCAGGTGTTTTGCATGCCCATCTACTTTAGTCTCAGAACCCCAGAGATATGCACGCACGTCTATCGTCCCCCACGCCCCCACTTCTCCACGGCTGTCCGTTAAAGAGTCTAGTTAGAAACCTGGTCAATAGAAAGTATCGAGTAACAGAACCTCTATCGTCCTCCCTTCATGGCCTGTCTCCGCTTGACCTTATCCATCGTTCGCTGCAACGCCGTCTTGATTTCACCCTTCGCGAATGTTTCCAGGTCGTAGTAAGTAGGTGCAATGTCCTTCAAGGTATATTAGTATTTTGATCAAACGATTCTCGAAATTTGTTACTACTTACCAGGAGCCATTCTGGCTTAACAGAGGTGACCGTCCTTACATAGTTCTTGGTCGTGAGCACGAACTCGTTGTACACGACCCAGTCACTATCAACGCCGAGAACAGTGCTTGGGTGCAGTAGCACGCTTTGGTCGTCCTTTACCGTCTTGTAGGTTTTCCCGGAGGGATCTTTCTTCGCTACCTGCATGAAGAAGCCTGCAACCAAAGCACGTCGGATGTTGGTGTAGTAGTCCTTATCCTCGAAAGGTGTGCTAAGGAGTTCAACCTCCGATTTCTCCATGATGCGCTTTAGTTGCTGGCGCACATTGTCAGCCGACTGCAGAGCCCGCAGGCTGAGAAAGTGCTCATGGCACCATTGCTTCGGATTAGCTTGTGCAACAGCGCCCTTGAAAGCGTGATATACGTTGAGCATAGTCAGATGATCTCCATCCGGATGGGCGAAAAGTGCCTTCATCTCATCTGCGCGCTTCTTTGCACTGGCAGGTCGGACGAATATTTGAGGCACCGACAAAAGAGCCGTCAGGGAGAGGATCTCGTTGGAGCAATAGAACTCAGGGGAGGAGATGAGCATTACAGCAAGTGCTGGATCGAGTGGAAATTCCGAAGCCAGCTGACCTAGGGTAGTGAGATTTCCATCATCGTCCAGGCATGCTAAGTAGTTGAGCTCTTCTAAGGCTCTCATCAGGGTCTCTGGTGCTGGAGGGTCCATCAAGTCGAAATGCACCAAATCATCAATCCCAAGCTTCTTCAGCTCCAGAACAGTGTTGGCCAAGTTCGATCGAAGAATTTCCGGATATGTCTGTTCGATCAATTCCTTCTTGAAGGCCACTTCTGTATATAGACGGAAGCACTTCCCAGGACGAGTACGACCTGCACGACCGGCTCGCTGTTGGGCAGAAGCTTTGGAAATGGGGGAGACCAGTAGTGATTCGACTCGAATTCGAGGATTGTAGACTTTTTGCTTGCTAAAACCAGGATCCACGACGTAAACAATACCATCGATGGTCAAACTAGTCTCGGCGATGTTGGTACCGACAATGACTTTTCTGCCGGGTCGACCTCCTGGTCTTGCTGGTGGGGGAGCTGGCTCGAAGATTCTCTGTTGTTGTGCTGGAGGTAAGGTTCCGTAAAGGGGGTACACCTTCAATGGTCCTGCATCTGCCTCCCTAATCATCTCATCTGCTTCGAGGCTGATTTTCCGGCATGCATCCTCAATTTCCTCCTCGCCAGTCAAGAATAACAGGATATCACCTTCAGGTTCTGTGGCATGAATTTGAAGGACTGTTCGCAGCGCGGCCTCAACATAATCTCTCTCTGGCTCTGGTGTGTAGAAGATCTCCACAGGATGAGTTCTTCCAGGGACAGCCAAAAGCGGTGCATTGTTGAAGTAACGTTGAAATTTCTGGGCATCAAGTGTGGCCGACATGATCACAATTTTCAGGTCAGGACGTCTTAATGCAACCTCCTTCAGAAGGCCCATCAGGATATCGGTCGCCAGTGTACGCTCGTGGGCTTCGTCAAGAATGATGCAGCTATACCTTGCCAAGTTATGATCATGCATGGCTTCGCGAAGAAGCATACCATCTGTCATATACTTCAGAATTGTCTTAGGGCCGGTGACATCTTCAAATCGAATACTGTATCCCACCTCTTCCCCAAGTTTGACATCCATCTCATTGGCCACACGCTGGGCCACTGACATTGCTGCCACTCGACGAGGTTGTGTACAAGCAACAAGCTTGCTGTTGAAGTGAGGAAGGTCATCGAATAGGACGAATTGGGGAATCTGTGTAGTTTTGCCAGAACCAGTTTCACCGACGAAGACTAGGATTTGGGTAGAGTGGAACATATCCAGGAATTCTTGTCTGAAATTATGTCAGTCGCACGCCACAAATTAGGCAGTAGAAGGGGCACACCTCTGTTTATGAACCGGTAGATCTCGTCTCGTCCTGAGGATATTGAAGTATTGCTTCGAGAGCGGCGCGTTGTTGAAAGGATTATTTGGTCCATCTTCAGCGACATGTGCTTGAAGAGCTGTGGTAGCATGGCGCTTGAATTTAGAAAGCCCAGTGGGAGCTGAAGACCCATTGCTGTGGCCATTGCTGTAGGATCCAACTTGTTGATCTTCATACATATGCACCAAGTAGGGATTTTCAGTAGGATCACTCTCCTCCAACTTGGGTCGTTTGGCGCGAGACATCTCTTGAACTTCTGGACGACGGTCAGCCATCGTAAAAGTAATAGGAAGTAGTTGTGTTGTTTACTTGAATTTTGCCTGCAAGGCTGCGAATCCAAAATTTCGAGACCAAAAAGATAGCCTACTAGCGTGGGCCTTATCGAGGATCACGTGGGGGCTAGATATCAACCCAAATCGACCTCAAGACTTCGAGATCTCATCAAACATCAGAAATCATGGCAAATGCAGAGTCACCGGATCCTTCAAAGGATCTTGTTCCGGTCAACAACGCTGATGAAGAAGTCGATCCCCTAGCGCCAGCTCCAGAACCCAAACTTCCCGTTCGGAAAGACGCGTCTTTGAAAGAGTTTCTTGCGAAGATGGATGATTATGCGCCTATCGTATGTTTTGACAATCCATCGTCCTGTTCTCTTACTTACGCCTTCTAGATCCCGGATGCTGTAACCAACTATTACCTCACAAAAGCTGGGCTTCCTCCTCCACCTCAGACGGATCCACGACTTGCCCGCCTCCTTGCGCTCGCGACCCAGAAATTCATTGCAGATATAGCTGCCGATGCATACCAATACTCTCGCATCCGATCATCGAATTCGTCCAACGCAAATAATCCCATGGGCAACTTGGGAGCTGCTGCAGGTTTCCCGGTCCCAGGACAACCGTCAGCTGCTCCAGGTAGCAAAGAACAGCCCGGCCGCGGTGGGCCACTTGGCATCCAACGACCAGGTTATGGAGGTGGTGGACAAGGAGGTAGCCAAAACAGGACAGTACTAACGATGGAGGATCTGGGAATGGCAGTCGGAGAATATGGCGTGAATGTAAAAAGGGGAGAGTTCTATCGATAAAAGAATTGGCATTTGGCATCAAGGGATACAGTCTGAATTGTCTGCATGGGATGGGATCATGGCGTTCTATTTTTGCGGCGTCAATTGACTTGGGAAGTGGGATGTCTGCATTGTCATAGAGAGTGCCAGAACTCGAAATACGACCAAGTTCGTACAAAAAATACTCGGAGGAAAAAAAGTAACTTTGTCTCTTTTCACATCTGGACAAGGAATTGGTGCTGTTCCATTTCCAAGTTTCGCCATGTTACCTGTTCCTTCGTTCAGGACATTTTCGATGGTAGGACTCCAACGCGTTTTATGCAGTTGGTATTGCTCGCAGCAGATTTCAACATCTAGCAAAAAGATTGAAACAAGCATCAGCTCCCATGTTCCATATCTACAAGCCGATAGAATACACTCGAATGCTCGCTCCCTGAACGCCGTTCCCAGTCCTATGAGTCATCTATTTATTCTTGCTCTGCTTATAGGTAAAGCGCTTTCTCGTGCTACAATCCCAGGTCAGCTAAACTTGTCTCCTGGCACTGGTCCAAATAGTGATCCTACGCTGAGAACTCTCCAAGCTTGTGTCCCACCATATCCTCTGTAATCAACACATCGTTGTATATCTTGCCGTTGTGTACCTGGAACACAAGGCCCACGAAGTTTGGTAAAATGGTCGCCGAGCGAGCTTGAGTCCTTATTGGCGTTACTTTCTGACCGGGAGCCCTGTTCAGTGGAAAACTAGATGATTGTGTGAGATGATGTCTGATCGGAATAGGGACATTCGTACGGAACGATGTTCGGTCCTATGTGATAATCAGTAATGAACCTTGAGATACCAATTACTACCAGTAACATACCTTTCCAGACCGAACGTGCCAGAAGAACGCGAGTAGGAATCATTGTTCTGCTGAGGTTGTCTTCACCTCACCGTCGGATCAAAAAGTTCGGAAAACAGCTTGCAGGGATTAAAACGCGCTAAAAATTGTCACGTCTCCCAAGTAAAGCTGCCTGCCATATTCAAACATCCAACCGTTTGCAATTCATGAATAAACATTGCGAACCAACACAGTGCAAGAAACTTTCACGGCAGGTATCTACGAGTAGTAAGCCTTTGAGAGACAGAGTCGTAACGCAAGATACCTATCTGCATTTCCAGACCATGCTGAGCGCGCAACTTGCCTACCATTAGCAAGATGCCTCCCCGCTCTGGTATGTTGCATCTTCCGACCAGCGCTTTTCAAGACTGACAGTATACAGGTGCGGATACTATTCGAATCCTTATCGCCACAGACAGTCATGTTGGCTATGCCGAGCGGGATCCTGTGCGCAAAGATGATAGCTGGACGAGCTTCGACGAAGTCATGCAACTAGCCAAGACACAAGATGTAAGCGCAATGAGGTACATCAAGAACAGTCTCTAATCATCTTAGGTCGATATGATACTTCTGGCGGGAGATCTCTTCCATGATAATGCGCCATCCAGGAAAGCCATGTTCCAGGTCATGCGATCTCTCAGACAAAATTGTCTGGGCGACAAGCCTTGCGAACTGGAATTTCTAAGTGATGCTACGGATGTCCTGGGCACTGCTCATGTCAACTATGAAGACCCTGACATGAATATCTCAATTCCTGTCTTCTCCATCCATGGTAATCACGACGACCCGTCCGGAGAGGGGCATTACTGCTCTCTAGATCTCCTTCAGGTCTCAGGACTTCTCAATTATTTTGGCAAGGTTCCAGAGACGGACAAAATCGACATCAAGCCAGTTCTTCTACAAAAGGGGCAGACGAAGTTAGCCTTATATGGATTGAGCAACGTCAGGGATGAGAGACTGTTTCGGACATTTCGAGATAAAATGGTCAAGTTCTATACTCCCGGAACGCAAAAGAACGACTGGTTCAACTTGATGGCTGTTCACCAAAACCATCATGCCCATACCGAAACGAGCTATCTTCCAGAGAACTTCCTCCCAGACTTCATGGACCTCATTATCTGGGGCCACGAGCACGAATGTCTCATCGACCCGCGATTGAATCCGGAGATGATGTTCCAGGTCATGCAACCGGGCTCCTCCATTGCGACATCCTTAGTTCCCGGTGAAGCTGTGTCTAAGCATGTTGCCATTATCAACGTCACTGGAAAGGATTTCACAGTCGAGAAGCATCGAATCAAATCTGTGAGACCATTTATCACAAGAGAGCTGGTCCTCGCTACCGACCCTCGATTCAAAGCACTTGCTAATGTCAAGAATAACAGAGTCAGACTTGTCGATAAATTGACATCGGTCGTGAATGAGCTTATTCAAGAAGCGACAGATGACTGGTTGAGTATACAAGATCCGGATGATATGCCAGATGAGGTACCACTTCCTCTGGTCAGACTCAAGGTTGAGTATTCAGCTCCCGACGGTGGAAGGTTTGATCTTGACAATCCCCAACGTTTCTCGAATGGATTTGCCAGTAAGGTCGCAAATGTCACGGATGTTGTGCACTTCTACAAGAAGAAAGTTGGTACAAGTAAGTAGATACTGTCAACCTGGTAGATTTGTGCTAACGATATGCAGAAAGAGACAAGATCGAGAGTCACATGCCCGCGGATGATATTTTGGCTGCTTTGAACAATGACAACATCAAGGTCGGGAAGCTAGTCCATCAGTATCTGGATGCTCAAACTCTGAAGATTATTCCGCAAAAGCCCTTCGGTGATGCAATCACAGACTATGTTGAAAAGGACGACAAGTTTGTCATGGATGCATTCGTCAACGACAGTCTTACAACCCAAATCCAAGAGATGTTGACCATGCTGGGAACCGAGGAGGACGAAGATCTGGAGCCTTTCATGGACAGCATTCGTGCCAAGCAAGAGACTGCATTTGCGGCTGGCCAATGGAAGAAGCCGAAAAAGAAGGGCAAGTTGAGGCCCAAGCCACAAGGGTGGGACGATGCCTTGGGAGAATGGGAAGATCAGCCGGGCGCTTTTGACGAAGACGGTGGCGACGATGAAAACGAAGATGAAGAAGAAGAGGACGACGACGACGGGGCATCTATTGTCTCAGCTGCGAAGAAGAAGCCAGCTAGTAAGCGGGCACCAGCGAAGAAAGCACCTGCCAAAGCAAAGGCACCAGCAAAAGCCAAGGCTCCAGCGAAGGCGCCCGCAAAGACAACTGCCAAGGGAAGAAAGAAAGTTGCTGAACCAAGTGACGACGAAGATGATGATGACGATGTGGTCATGCTCGACTCACCTCCACCAAAAGCTCAGCCAAAGCGAGCCGCTGCTGCCAGAGGACGTCAGACCCAGATCAATTTTACCCAATCTCAGGTGAAAACCTCCACTGCGAAAGAGCTGAGTGACGACGAGATTTCCGACGATGAAGATGCATTTGAGCCAGCCCCAGCAGTGGCATCGAAGAGGAGAAAATGAATGTGTCTCTTCGTGCAGAATGTATGGGAATAATTAGGTGCTATGTCAGCACATCTTGTAGGTGTAGAGATTATAGATGGGCCGAATCTGATTAGCGAGCACTACGATACTTGCAGTCTACGAGAAGCAACGATATGATGAATTACGCCATAATGAAGAACAGGCTTGCTTGGGGGAAAGGAATAGGGGAAAGGAATAGCATGGGAATAGAACAATAGCTCTCGGGAAAGCACCGTGCCAGAATATTTCCATTTTCTCAACCGTGAACTATGTTTAGGTATACTCGATCAAGGACATTGGCACGTTTATTGATCACAGATTCTCGATTGACTTACCCAGAATTGGGACATTCAACCTTTGATTGTTTTGACCCTACTTTTCCTAAATCTATACCTAGCCTATTACGTTCTTCAGAATAACCACTACTGAGTCCCGATTTTGGAGTCCAACCTATATAAGGTTTTGTTTTTCATTTGTAGTGAGTAAGGACGGATTCGCTACCTACTGTCTTCGTCTTGTAATCTATCCTATCGCCTATCGATATGTTAGAGACCTGATTTATTAGATTAATAGGTCTTCTTTCTGAGCACGCAATGGGCAAGAAGAGGCCCGCTTGGTTACATTGAATCATACACTGCTGAGAGAACAACTCTTAACAATGAACGAGATATTCGGCCCACCGTCAACCGGATCAAGAAAGAGTTCGGGAGTTTTGGGAGTGAGGCTTACTGGCAGCCTTCCCGGATTTCGGGAGACAATGAACCCTTAGTAACCTTAGTAATGCCAAAAGGACAGTTAGTGTAATCCTTTACTAGGCCTGCAATGTTCCTCACAATTGAGAACCTCGTACGATTTCTGCAGGGTAATCGAGGTGCATAGCAAGCAAATTCGGCATGGATAACAGCATTTACTATCCTACCACACAAGCAAGTCAACAGATGAACGGCCTGGGGAGAGAAAATCAGGAGAGCATGGTGATGGTTCGAGCATCAGAAGTAGTGCTGCAAAAAAGAAGCGTCTCGAACAGGTGGGCAGATCCAAAGGTGGAAGCTGTTAGTCAAGCTTTGCGGGGGAGGGGTCAATGTGAAGATTTCTGGACCTCAGGGCCCTACAGTCCCGATTCGAGAAGTAAAAGCGGACGAAAGCCCAGAGCTCCTGGATGTTCTAGGATCCTGTGCCGAAGATTAGATAACAGGGCAGGGACAACGCTTTTGGGAGGGGTGGAGCAAACGGGCCTGCAGCGTGGGGCACGCCGTGGTGTGTTGATGTTATATTTACTTTTTCGGCGCAGACCGACGAAGCCGGTGGTAAGTCTATGAAGACAGTCTGTGAGGATGGACCTTCCTGTGAACACTGTTATGATGATGGCGGGAGGATTGTGATATTTTATTCTGGGTGGTGATATTGTGGTCTGATCCCATCGGCGATGCTGCAAACCCTGGCCCATCGGATAGTGTTGGTGGGGTTCTGGTGGTCCCTTGATCTGCAGGGTGCTGATGGGATGACGCTGATTGAGTCCCGCCGAGACTTTTCTAGTCTTGATTCGATGCTTTCGACCAGAGGCATGTTCTCCGCGAGGAGAAAATATGAGAGGTCTGGAACCTGTGGAGATTGCATCACGTATGATGCGTCGTTTTGTCTCGCTGCTATCCAAACGGAGACGAGGCTACTTGCATGTGGAGGAATTGGCGGAAGCAAAGTAGATAGATATACGGCGGCTGCCACAAGTGAGAAGTTGATAAGATCTCCACCATCAATCTCATCTCCAGGCATTCGACTCTTCTCGGAAAACTACTCAGCTTCTACCTGTTGATATACCAGCCGCAATGCCCCTAAGACATTTACAGCTCCAGCGAGGCTCGAACTACGATCTGGTTTCTTTGAGGGGCGTTTACAATCCTGAAAATAACGTTGTGGAAAAGAGCCAGGCTGATGAGCTGGATGCTGATGACTGGACCAATTGGCTGCGGTGGGATGCTGGCGCAATCGAATTATTAAATCCGGGGGAGGAACTTGGCGACGAAAATGCTAGTAGTCTCTGTTCACCAAATACTACCTTCAGTGACATCGAGTTTTCGGGAAAGCATGAAGCCTCGCATTCACTGCTCTCGCAGAATGGGACACCATTCGAAGACGCTCCGTTCGATGTTGACGAGGACAACAAGAGTACGTTGTTCAGCCCGATTAGCTCCACGGGTTCTCTACTTCTTCCAGAGCATTACCAGCCTTATGACTTAGCCGCTGGCTTCCCATTCACCTCCAACGTCGGTGAAAGACCGATACAGGCAGCTCAAGCCCGAAATTCCGTTTTGATAGAAATAGAGTCAATCCCCGAAACGAGATCTGCACGACTGAAGCTGGCTCGCCCTTTGAAGACAGATGCTCCAGCGAGAAGGGGCAGGAAAAGGATAACCATCGAGGAGACTAAACCAGACATAACGTGTCTATCAAAGAAACGAGGCCACAATGCAATCGAAAAACGCTATAGGTACACCTCCCAATCCAACAAGATATCCATCCGCAAACCTAACAGTCAAACAGAACCAACCTCAACGAGAAGATCAATTGCTTGCGAGACGCTCTCCCGAGCTTGTGCAAGTCTACCTCGGACGCGAAGGCCGACGAGTCGGATGATGAGGAAATAGACAGCAAGAGTGGACAACAAAAGTTTGGGAAAGCTGCGGTTTTGACCAGAGCATTGGAATATATCAAGCACTTGGAGCTCAATACACAAGTACGTCAAATTCTCTCTTCACTTCGAGGACAATTAGGAATCGAAGACACTTTCGGGGAAGTGTCGGCTCCTGTGTTTTTCAATATGGTGTCGAAGTACATACTAACTTTTCAATAGCAGCTGGGGAAGGAAATCGACACACTGAAGGGAAGGGTTAATGCCTTTGAAAGATTGGCCCTGAGTGGGGACACTCTGGAAGAAAGTGAATCACTAAAAACACTACCACTATCGACGGGACAGACACTTGAAAATATACAAGAAGGTATGAACAAGTCAACGCGGCGCTTGCAATCTATGTACTAATACCTGTGGCCAGAATTTAAGCAGATCGAGACCAAGTCGAGATCTAGATCAAGGTCGATATGGGATCCAGTACCTCCTCGCAAGAGAACTAAGCGACAAGGGAAAAACTGCTGATGTTGCGCATAAAATGTGTATTGATGCTGGGATATGCCGCTGACCTCGGGCATGATGAAGTTACCAGTCAGACATATTGGAACAGCACCTCCAGAGTCTGGGCTGGCAGATATGGTATAGAAGGTACAAAATTTGTCCAAAGTCCATTCAGATGTAGAAATCTAGTCTTCATGCATTCAAAACTCCATTCCACAGAAAATGAGAGATCAAAACTCTTCGCTTCCGAGCACATTTCCTGGTGATTCCAAATCGTCTTTCCCCTTCTCAGCCAGCACCGATTTTCCAAGTACCGCAACATCCATTTCTTCTTCCCACCAGCTATGGAACTCTCTTAGCCTGCGAGTACGTTCCCGAGCCAATATCTTTCCCGATGCAGTCTTCATCATGTCCTCCAGTTTGAAGAGCTTTTCATCCATGATGTTGATTGACCCGTCCATACTCCTTTTCGTCTTGGCTCCGCCATACGTGAACAGGCGTCCGATACCAGTAGCTCCTATGGCATCTATCCTGTCTGCATCTTGCACACAAGCAAGCTCAGGATAACGTGAAATGAGGTCTGCAGCAAAATCCAAGTTCTTGATCTCCGATGAGTATGAGACACCGAGGCAAATTGTCTGGACACGTTCTGCCAGCTCGTAAGAGGCGCCGAAGTTGAGAAGTACATCGCGCACCATTGTCTGGGCGTCTTCTCCCTCTTTGACATATTTCCTGTCGCCTACATCGTGGAGAAGTGCTGAGAGTGTAATGACGTCCCGATCGAGGATTGGTAGTTTGGTGTCGTTGCCAGTGATTGGAATTGTCATCTCATCGTGGATACGATGGGCTAGGCCCACAACACGCAAGATGTGGTGGAAGTCATGAGAGCCATCATAGTTACTCATGTGCTTCTCCACGTATGCAGAAACGTTACTGATCAATTCTTGCATTTTGGTCATGATGAAGAAGGACGATAGAATCGGATAACAGCTAAAGGGCAGGAACGAGAACAGAGGCCTGATTATGAACAGACAGTAAGATTAGATATAGGCAACAAGACGTGGCCTGTAAGGACAGAGATTAGACAAGGGACTTGTTATCCAGAACGACCGACTGAGTCATCCGGGGTAGTTTAGCTGCAAGTCTCAAAGTAAACAGGACTTGGACGCGGCGCGATTGACGCTTGGACACGTCGCGAACTCACGTGAAAGTCTTATCTCTTGAGTTAGGTAAAGGTACTTGTTGGAATTCGTTGAGGGTTCTTACGGTCTTAGGTATTGCGCCAGATGTGCAGGCTGTCGAGCTTTCAAGAAAGCTTCTCAGTGAGCCAAAGCCCATTCTTCTCCTCCTCTGCCACAGCTATCCCTGAATCTCGAAACAGCCTTGTACCTCCTCGACTCCTGCATCAGCGCACTGTATGTTGCGGAGCTCCCTGTTCTTTACGGACATTCTTGTCTCAAGGCTTCTGTTTCTGTTCTTATCAACACTTAAGCCATGCTGATTTGCTTGTATCAACTGTGGATATCTTTGCAGACACTCCTTGGCTCTTGCTCGTTCGAGAGTCCCATAACGCAATATGATCCTTCCTCGCACCTTCAGATCGTCCTGGGTAGCGATAATCTCAGATCTCATTCGGTTGTCCACGCAAGTAGCATACACTTGCAGATTGCGTAGCAGAGTCTCTTTGAATAATACTCGGGTATGCCAACGTTAAGGAACCAGGGCCAGTACCAAAGAAAGGATCGTGAACAAGTATATCGTTTTTCCAGCTCTCAATTTTCGGCCCCCACTTCCACTTGTCGAGGAGCTGGCAGCTGTGGCCGTGGTCGTAACATCGCTGGTAGATAGTATTGTGCTTGTGCTTGTGCTTGTACTGGCCATACCAATTTGTACCCCACTTGAGTTGCTGCTTGTCACGACCGCAACACTCGTTGCAAGCATGGCTGCACTCCCTGTGCTACAGCTCGTTACACTTCCCAACGCAACATCTGGATCTGCAGAACAGCATCGGAGATTGTCGAAGTAAAATGGATGTTGTTGAGCAGACAGGGATCCTAGGATAGGTTGCGTTATATCGATGAGCAGGCCATTGCAGCAATATGTATCACTGCTTTCGGCAGGGTCGATGATCGTTGCTTGACATGATGCTGGGGCTGATCCGCCCGTGCCACTCGAGAACCAGAATGGCGTCGGCAGAGGCGCTATGCTTGACCCAGGGTTGAACGTCGAGGCTGCGGCTGCCATTTGAAATGTGAATGCGCAGTGATCCTCGTAAAGAACTGCAAATAAAAGGGATAGTAAAGGAAGGAAGGAGAGCGGAACGATGATGAGTGGTCCATCGAGCATGTCGCCGAGCATTCCATTCCCTACAGCCTAAACTGGATTAGGCTTACTTTCCGCGTATCGCAGCGTTTCGCTCCCATTTTCAAACTTCAAGCCGCAATGTGATCCGAGCCCAGACACTTTTGGATATGCCGAGGCCCTTTTCGTGGACTTTCTTCACTTCGAGGGACTTTTGTTGAGCTGAAGTTATGCTCGTTCTCTAATACAATTCTAGTCCATGAATTCTATGCGCTTTGTGGATTTCGCCACGAACAGAGAGCCGCTTCGGCCCAGCTCTCTGGGCCACATGCTCTGCATCTTGGGGACAAGGAGTGTGGAGCGTCCCGTTTCGTATGCCATGGAACACTGAAAAGTCGATGTTATCTCCCAACAGTTTGGGAGCGGACTTGAGTTGTTCCGACTTGGAATACATGATTCAACAATACATATACCAAGCCGGCCATGCTATACTTACTTCTCTTCCTTCGTTCCACAGAGTTCCGATCCCAAGGATGCCATCCCGAACAACAATAGATACGCCGAATGGCAAGATTCCCATAGTCAAGCCACTCTCAGCTTTCACACGCCTGTCACCCAGCGTCGGATTTTATGAGCCACCAAAGAGCTTGGTACGTTCAGGCCTGACCGACGACTCGTCCCCAACTATAATCCTCCTCTGTTCGTGGATGAATGCCAAACCAAAGAACGTTGACTACTACACTCGTAATTACATGAGTCTTTACCCTACCGCTCGCATTATCCATGTTACAATCAACACCACGCAATTCATCTTCCAATCAGAAGCCCAACGCCGCAAAGACATGATGATAGCAGTATCGACTCTCCTCGCTCGAGATGAGAAATCTGAAAGGATTTTCGTCCATTGCATAAGTAATGGCGGAGGCAAACGTGGTTATAATATCGCTGGGGCATATCGTTCTGTGACAGGCAAGGCATTACCTGCCCAAGCCATGATCTTCGACTCGGGACCTGGACTTCCAAGATTCAAGCGCGATGTTTATTCCTTGATGGTACCAACCCAAAAAATGAACTGGTACGTATGAAGCCTTTGTTTCTCGGGGTGCATCTCTTGACTGGAATTGCAACACACTTTCCATCTCCCATGCTTCTTCTATCACGCCTCACTCGTCTTTCTGACACCTTCTAGGCTACCTTGGCTGTTTTACGCAACCGTTAGCGTTGCGACGTGTTCCATGATGTTTGTATCTGTATATTGGACGCCGCTGTGGTTCTGGTACGATCTCGTGTGGGGCCCGACCTACGGGTGTTCTGACACAACCCTGGTGGACGAAATATCAATGAGAGGGTACATATACAGCAAAGAAGATCTGGCTATTGACTGGAGAGACGTTGAAGCCCACGCTGCAGCCGCGGAAGAGAAGGGGTACAAGGTGTCGAAGAAGTTGATACACGGTGCGCACCATGCTCAGCTGTTTAAGGGAAAGGATGGAGAAGAGGATTATTGGGGATTTGTCAAGGAGATCTGGGCCAAGGGAACCCGTGCCACGGAATGACCTTCCTAACAAGAATGTCAGAAGAACAGCCTGCCAGTTGAAACAAGCAAAGGAAGGAGCTTCACAACTGACCAAGATATGGTCATTCCGAGTCTCAATCTCCAGCACTTTTGACGAACAATATAAGACTTTTCCGAGTTTGGAAATTTACATCATCGTCTTCCTATTGTGTTGACGACTTTGTGTTCCCTTGATACCTGTTGCATTTCTCCCTTCATCAATGGCCCACGCCTTTCATCTAAGACAGAAATCTTCGACGACTACGTCTCTCTTGACTGAGTAGAAAGCGCCTGCTAGCTGAATGTGCTGCGTCTTTGGGAGATTTCCAAGCTCGTAAGGGACCGAATATCGCAGGGAAACAATCCCCTTCTCGGCAGATAACCACCGATTTCCACCAATTCTCCAGATAATGAATCCTTTCCAGTATAGAACAGGCGAAATTCCCGTCAAACGAACATTCTGGAAGTGTCCATAGTGCGTCTATTGATTTAAGCTCTTCATTGCTAAGGTGACGGTGGAAGTAGAACAACATCTGTCGTGAAAATGAACCTTTATCGATCTCAAAAGGAGACTCGCTTAAAGCACCTAAGCCGAGTTGTCATTCTAAAGCCTGTGAAGTGAAGCTCGACGAGGGAATTGCGAGAATGCTATGAAATATGGGGCTTAAGAGCGTGTATACCCGCTGGTTACAATAAACCCAACAAAGCAAATAGGAGAAGCAACGCTTTGCTTGTTGAGACGACGAGCAAGTGAAGAATGCGATACCAGGAGAGGTTCGAGAATTGTCAACAAGATCTTCATACATATGAGGTAGAAGATCACATAGTTGTGTATGATGACATAGTTGAATGGGCATGGATTCTCTAAGGTCCAATTGATGTATATAGTCTTCTTTTGGGCAAGACTTGCAGATTGCAAACAGACCCCTAAATCGGGCATTGTAGTAATCCTGCACTGACATGGTGGATCCCTGACAACTACCAGGCACACCTATCATGTCTGTCTGGCTTGCAATGGATGTTCGACACCAAAGATATGCCATATTGTGATACCAAGAAGAGAACCTCAGGTCTGACAGGAGTGAATCTTCCAGAGGAAACTTTTAGCGAGGACCACATATTGGGTGGAGGTTGCTGCTTTTGATGCAATGCTGCTTTTGAGATGCAATTGTGAAGCAGCGCAATAATTCCAGTTGACTGGAGGTGACTGACTCGTACGCAAGCTTTATTCCCGTTGGCCCATCCCCTTTGCCACGGCTATCGTGGTAATCTTACCATCTCTCCTAGCTTCACTACCCCACACGAGACGGACTTCTCACTATCTTCACACCTCGGTGATGTGGAAGCCCCAGGCAACGACCCGGTACAGAAAGTTCGAGACTATTGAGGTTCTTAGGTCTTAGCGGCTCTGAGATTCCAGAAACAGACTGCGGGGAAGCTGACTATCGAGGGATTGGTGGAGGGCAGCATCACCAAACAGAAGCGCCGTTGTCCAGGACTAAGATGGAATCAAGATACAGGAAACTGTGGAGAAATGGCGTTACTCTCAAGGATCCGTATGTTATGGAGGAACGGAACTGGAAGGGATGGCGAATAGCGGAGGGTCATTCTGCATGCTGGGGCTATGGAGATGAGCTGTGTGTTTGAAAGGCTGACTGCATGGCATGGCTGGGCGGAAGTAAGCCGTGCGATGCCTCCACATACAGTATTTCAACGTTTTCCAAGAGTCTGGACCAGGGTAGGCCATGCTAACGTGCGGGATGATTACTTAGTTTCACAGTTGCCATGTCCGAACAGACATTGCATCTTGACTTTAACGCCGAAAAGTGTCCACTTGCCGCGCACTCGGGTGGTCTTGCTGCTCGTGGTAAACTCGAACGACCGCGGGGCATGCTGCGGGGGGATATTCACCGAGGTTGTGTCACCGCTGTACGGTACTGTAGGTCAGGCAATTCCGCACGAGGACACAGCCCGAGACTCGAGCTGGGTGCGAGACCGTACGAGCTGAAGCAGTCAATGTAGAGCAGAAAATAGATGGCAGTACGAGAGGAGACGGAGATGGAGATGGCATGGAGGGGTAGGCAAGATCTAGCTTTCTGGTGTGCAGAGCCCTCCAGCGGACAATCAGCGTGCGAGGTGGCGTCAAGCTTGAAACCTTGGGAGGGGAGCTGGGGAGGGGTCGAAGTCAGAAACTTACATCGATGTGCATTTTCGTTCTCGCCTTTCCCACCTGCCGGACCAATGATGCCATCCACTGGTCCTCGAAAGAAAAGCGTCACCACCCAAATCCCGCTGCTGCGAGACAAGACCGTAGCTTCGTGGAGCTCTGGTGGAGGAGGGAGACGGTGGGGACCTCTCAAATCGTCCCAGGAGACCTCGCCGTCCGGATGCTAGATCCACAAGGTGTTGAAGGTAACGGAATCGAGATAACGACGTCTCACCAAGACTTTCCTAATTCACTTGATATCCATGTTGGTGTGTTGATCCCTTGTGCGAGTTCTCGTCTGGCTCTCCGGTAAAGAGGTTCGCGGCTTCCTGCTCCCAACTTAATAAAATCATCCCCCTTTCCCCCCTCTCTCTCTTGTTTTTCTTCCACCATCTTTGTGCCTACTACCAAACGAGATACCCATTGCACAACTTCCAACAATATTCACAATGACTTCCATCACACTCTCCACGCCATCAACTGGCAAATACACTCAACCTACGGGATTGTAAGTATCCATTCCATCGTTGTTCGGACATGCTCGTCTACCCCGCATTTCGGCATCTCAGCATTTCAAACCAGATCTGAGCTGACCTGTGCTTGCTTATAGGTTCATCAACAACGAGTGGGTCAAGGGCGTTGACGGCAAAACATTCGAGACCATCAACCCATCTACAGAAGAAGTGATCTGCTCTGTTCACGAAGCCACCGAGAAGGATGTCGATATTGCTGTCGCCGCGGCACGAAAGGCATTCGAGGGCTCGTGGAGAAAGGAGACACCTGAGAACCGAGGCAAGCTGCTGCTCAACCTTTCCAACCTGATCGAGAAGAACATCGACCTGCTGGCTGCTGTTGAGTCGCTGGACAATGGCAAGGCCTTTGCCATGGCCAAGGGTGATGTCGGTATGGTTGCAGGCTGCTTGAGATACTATGGTGGCTGGGCCGACAAGATTGAGGGCAAGGTGATCGACACCAACTCCGACACCTTCGCATACACCAGACAAGAACCTGTATGCTCTGCAGATACCCCATTTTGATATCCTGAGTACTGATTGTGCTAGATTGGTGTCTGCGGTCAAATTATCCCATGGAACTTCCCATTGCTCATGTGGGCATGGAAGATCGGTCCTGCCGTTGCTACTGGTAATACTATTGTCCTGAAGACTGCTGAGCAGACACCTCTCTCGGCTCTCGTCGCTGCGAACTTCATTAAGGAGGCTGGCTTCCCTCCAGGAGTTATCAACATCATCTCTGGTTTCGGAAAAGTCGCCGGTGCCGCCATTTCATCGCACATGGACATTGACAAGGTCGCTTTCACTGGATCCACTGTCGTCGGTCGCCAAATCATGAAGGCCGCAGCCGGTTCCAACTTGAAGAAGGTTACCCTTGAGCTCGGAGGCAAGTCTCCAAACATTATCTTCAACGATGCCGATATCGAGAACGCCATTTCTTGGGTTAACTTTGGTATCTTCTTCAACCACGGCCAATGCTGCTGTGCTGGTTCCCGGGTCTACGTACAATCTGGCATCTACGACAAGTTCATTCAGCGATTCAAGGAGCGTGCCACTGCCAACAAGGTCGGTGACCCATTTGCTGCCGACACTTTCCAAGGACCACAAGTCTCTCAACTCCAATATGACCGCATCATGGGTTACATTCAGGAGGGCAAGAAGGAGGGTGCTACCGTCGTCACTGGCGGTGAGCGTCACGGTGACAAGGGCTACTTCATCCAGCCAACAATCTTCTCCAACGTCACTGAGGACATGAAGATCATGCAAGAAGAGATCTTCGGCCCTGTCTGCTCGATCTCCAAGTTCGAGACGGAGGAAGAAGTTATCAAGGTTGGCAACAGCACCACATATGGTCTCGCCGCTGCGGTCCACACCTCGAACCTCAACACGGCCATTCGTGTCTCCAACAACCTCCGTGCTGGTACCGTCTGGGTCAATCAATACAATATGCTCCACCACCAAATCCCCTTCGGTGGCTACAAGGAATCTGGTATCGGACGAGAGCTCGGCGAAGCGGCTTTAGCCAACTATACTCAAACCAAGTCGGTGTCCATCCGCTTGGGTGATGCTCTTTTTGGTTAAGCTGGGAAAATCATGGGAGTTGGATTGAATATCTCTATGTGTATATGACTAGCCATAAGTAGTGCATTTAAATCAAAAACAAATTGATACTACCAATGCCTATTGCCCACATCGCTGAACAGACTAAAGTTAGCTTTTCGATATAGATCCCCAAGAATAGGACAGACAATACGGAGTATTGGACCTAGAATGTCTGGCTTTGAGTGCTGCACAATTGCGAGTTACATTTTCTGTCGGTTCTTTTCCCAGCCCCGCGCTCAATCTCGACAGGGATCATGATAAAGTCAAGGTTAAATATAAGCATGCAACTCGACGAAATAAGGATACTGCATCGATATTTATTTTCTCATCAAACATTGCATAAGTCGCAACAACAAACCGTCGCTGTTTCTCTAATATTACTGTGCAGCTTTCACATTTCTGTTCCATGACAGTGCTTCTCTCGAGCTTCCTTCTCTCATCTCTCGCAGCTCCTCATGATGTCACGCCCCCTCATTTGGCGGAGCGCAATCGATAGTGCGATAAGCATTCCATCACTTAGATAGTGGCTGGTCCTTGTGGCCGGTCACAGGAGCTTTTGCAGCTTGGCACATGCGGTTGCATGGCTTACACGACACCAAAATCCGATCTCTGCAGCAGCTTCCGCCGGGGAATAAGAGCGTGGTCCAATGGAAGTGAGACTTGAGTGTGATTGAGTGCATATGACTAGGAGCGATGTGGGATAGTGGGGTAGAATTGCAGGCAAAGCAGCTCAGAGCCATTCTGGTAGCGGAAGGATGCAAGCCATATTGAATGCGCTGCTTACCTAGGTATTCTCCCATTCGGAGCTTCGCAGCTGTTATCTCGATATCTCTCATAGCTCGTGCTTCGAGCTTCCTTCTTTCTTTCTGTTCTTTGCGTCATCGTGTAGCTCTATTCCTCCTGTGAGCTCCGCGCCTTTTTATATCTTCGCATCTCTGGAAACGAAGACTGAAGTCAGCCTCAAGACACTTAGTTTCTAAATCCTCACTTGCGGTCGCAATTATGGCACCTGTTGCGTTATCCACGGTTCTGGCGACTCTGTTTGCGATAGCAGTTGCGCAAACGGAACAAATCACTTGGTCTGCAATTACTTTTACCTACCACGGCGAGAAGGTTCCTGATCTATACCCGTCACCGTATTACCTCACGCCATATGGTGCGAATCAGCTTCTCAATGCTGGACAAATTGTACGGGATCGCCACATCAGTCCACCTGAAAATGGATCTCTCATTACTGGTGCTGCAGTCATTAATGGAATAAGTACAGCTGCTATCGACAACACTCAGCTATATATCCTAGGCACAGATGATACTGTTATAAGTCAGAGTATGCAGGCATTCATGCAAGGATTGTATCCGCCGAGGGAGGCACCGAGCTTCGACCAGTACGATGTTATGGCTGATGGTACCCTCCAACAGTAAGTAACTCTGAAACTCGTGATTAGCAGCGACTATGAAGAGACATTTGCGAGCATGTATTTGTCGTTACAGAATGTTTCCGAAGAGGTGAAACATTGAGCGACAGAAAAGCTTCTATTGTTCGAACAGTTATACCATTTCATATACGCCAGCCAAGGAGATTAAATACTTACAATTGTTTCCAGATACCCTCTAGATGGATATCAGTACCCCGTAATGTCGGCTGTCAGCGAACTTGACTTTAATTATATATAGTAAGAAACAAATCCTACTAAACCCTTCATCCTTTCTCGATTTCGAAATTGTTGTCTGCAGTGGTCCTAGGATTCCAAGCTGACTTGTATGAAAGTGTCGCCGGAAATACGGGGTGCACTACGAACGATATCCTAACAGTCGAAACCCTGGACTCGGATCCCTTCATTCAAGAAGTGGAAAATACAGAGAGCTTCTACACTGCTCTGAACAGCTCCATATTTTCGGGTTTGCCTATTGACATTCTCAACTATGGCAACGCCTGGGACCTGTATGAATACGCCCTCTTCGAATACACCCACAATGGCACAATTGCCAACAGTTCCGAATTCACAACCACTGACCTCGAGTTATTGTACTCCCTTGCGTCAGCCCAGCAGTGGACATTTAATACGCCTTCTGAAGACGCGACTATCCAAGCAATGGCAGGTCGCACATACGCCTCGAAGGTATTGGAGCAATTCAGTCATAACATCGCTTCTTCTGGGTCCACTGACAAGTTATCTTTGCTTTTCGGCTCCTTCGAACCATTCCTCGGATTCTTCGCACTTTCAAATCTCGCAACTGGCCCTTCAGCAGGGAGATTTAATTCCCTCCCCCTCCATGGCAGCACCATGACCTTTGAGCTCTTCTCCTTTGCTACACCCTCAGATGGAAATCTTAGTACTCCATTCCCTGATGTTGGGGACCTCAGAGTGCGCTTCCTATATAGAAACGGGACTGGGGATAGTGACACATTGATTGAATACGCCCTCTTCGGGCGCGGGAATTCCGAGGCAGATATGTCGTGGACGGACTTCGTTCAGGGCATGGGAGAATTCAGTTTGAATGATCTAGTCGATTGGTGTACTGAATGCAACACCGCATCACTTTTCTGCGAAGCTCTTGAGGACAGTCAGTCCACGAATTCTTCGTCCTCAAGCACTGCGAATTCAAGCGGTAGCTCTAGAATCAGTCCTACGATTGGTGGGGTGATTGGAGCCGCGGTCACTGTTGCACTGATGATCATCGTGGCTGCTGCTCTGTTATTGTTCGGATTCCGACTTGAACATCGAGGGAACGGTGCCAAGGGCGGAGATTTGGGTGTGTTGAAGAGGAGTGGAAGTGGAAATGGTGGTTTCAAAGGTGCAGAGAGATTGGCATCTGATACGGACTTGCGGCTGAAAAGTGGTGCTGGAGCGACTGTCGTCAGACACGAAAGAGTTGGGAGTTGGGAATTGAATGAGAGTCCTACCGATCGCAAGCATGCGAGTTTGGACAAGGAGATCGAGAGTGGTGGCATCACAAGCACCGCGGATTATGGACGGCATAGTGAGGATGGCCTGGAGCATGTGAATCCTGTGAAGCCTTTGGATCAGGTGTGAGAGTTTGATAGTTGGGCTGTTGGAGTTTTTCTGAATTTTCATGGTTTGAAATACGGTTAGATGGTGTGGGAGGACTGGGTTGGCAGCGTTTGGTTTTGATGCCTTGATGATAGCTGATGATACCCTTCTTTGTCTCTCACTCTAACACTTTCCCAATATATAGGATAGGCTATTTCCATGATTATTAGATAGCAGGAGTTGGGAATCCTAGAACCTTTGACAATGATACTGTTATTCTGGGCTCTGAAAATGTGTACGGTAAATGGTTATCTCCTTAAAATTGTCGCAAAGTTCCTCTAATATCCTAGGCTATGTGAAGAGAGACCTTGCCTGAAATAGTAGCTGCGAATCAATGAAAGGTATCAAGTGATTATACCGAGAAAAAGATTGTAGATGGGATGGCTTGTTGGAATTGACGAATATAATCACAACCACAAACATTGCCCCAGTCCGAAAGCGTATCTCGAGGTATACGTCGTTGCTCAAACAATACGAAATGTGACTAGAATAGAAATGGACGGAGAAAATCCATGCTAAGAGAATTTGAAGTAGTAACGCAATAGGCCCACCATGATGTACCTAGATTTAAACGCACCTTCCCAGACTAATATACATATGGAGGGCTTTGCAAAGAACAAGAAAACGAGAGCACTCTACTCACGCCAAACAACTCTTCAATTTTTGCTCGCATTGAATGCTGGGTGCGAAAGTGAAGTCTTTGAGAATTTTGTGATTCGTATTCTATTTTCTCTGAATCGTAAGTGTGTATCTACAGGAAATGAGACACGACGCTAAAAAGGGTTTCGATAGAGAGGGCTTTACGGTAGCCGAACTTTTCTACATTGTGCAGTCCAAAAAACCTCATCTCAAAGTAATAATTCAATGCACATGCTGCCCACTTCACACAGTACAGCTAGACGTATCGATAACACCACTGCTGTACCTATGTGTGTGCAATCACCTCTCAGGGCCAGACCACGATCTCAACATGTCTCGATCAAACAGCACAGCTGGTAAGTTATCGCATACCCAGTCCACCAAAAGCTTTTCAGGCACGGCAATTGAAACATCGCGGAGAGATCATATCTTCTACATTCTGCGCTTCCTAGATGAACAGCTTCTGACCATTGTAATCATGTAGACTACTCAATGAAGTACGAGTCGCCCTATGAGGTTGATAATCCCCAAAGTCTACCAAAACCTCGAAAACGCCGCAATTCGAACCAAGAATCTCCTGAAAAACGACAGAGAATCGACGATGATGATGGCAGACCTCTCGTTACGCCCGAATTTGCTGCGCTTGTCTCTCAGACTGCCATCTCTGTAGGAGGAAGTTCTGCGCAATTTCTTGCAGCGAACCACGGAACCAGGGCGGACATGGCGAATTTGGGACAAAATGGAGCCGTAGAAGATGCCGTGGCGTACGACCCCTATTACAACATGCGGATCTTAAGTCTACCCATATTGGAAAGTCTGGTAAGTTTTCGTTGAAACTAAACTGGGCACTGATGTTTGGCTCAACGATACATAGTCAGTACAAATTCTGTCCACCCTGACTGAAGGATCCTATTATACGACTGTGAACGGAATAGCAGACCAGACCTCTGAATTCTACCAAGCCCATGCGACTCTGGTGTCACTTTTTGACCAGACGAAGAAGATATATTCTACCGACGCAACATTTCTCTCCGCACAAAAGCTCGGCATCGCAGATCCCGAGCACAAAAATCTTATTCATATGACAAATGTAGCGACTTATGTTGCCTCTGTCTTTGGAGGGACTCTTGGGCTAGGTGATCTGGATGAAAACTTCCTAGAGACTTTTGCTCCAGAAGGAGCAGTCCTTGACGACGAACCCAGCAAGCTTCTCTTGAACTTAAAGACACAGATGTACTTATCTTCTGTCTCCCAGGAAGAACAAGAAGATGCAAAAGAAGATCTTCTAGAAAGATACTTGTCTCCGGGAGCGCTACGCACAACTTTAGCAGATCGACATCTGCACATTCCCCTAAGTGAGTCCGAGGTGCGATTTCTCGACGAATGCAAGGAGCGGGTAGACTACCTCACAAGGTCTGCAAATAATATTGAAACAACCCGTGAGTATACACCGATTACTCAACGACCTGGGCTAACAATCTCAGAACGGCTCATGACAGAATTTCCCTGGGAAGGCTTCTTAATACAACTTCGTGAATATATACACAAGGAGCCCCGCACCGAACCTTATGTCATACGTCATGCCCTGCCTAAGCCCTCTACGCCTTCTCAAACCCCAAATGGATATCAGGCCGATCAATCAGGAAATCATTTCATAACAGACGACTTCACGGCACAGATCAACAGTGCAGCACAGACAGCCCTCAGCCGTATTGGTGTGAACAACCAAGGTAAAGTCTTCTATCTTAAACATCGAATATACACTGATCTCGGCGCAGGGCCTCTTGATAATGGCCAAGCACAACCACAAAACAATGGTTATTCAGTCCATACTAATGCCCACACTCATCAGCCAGAGTCGACGAAAGCATTGTATGATAAAGCTCGCCAAGCAGCTGCTGCCAAGTCGAATCCAGGAAATGCTCGGATTCGGCCTGGGATGCCCAGTCAGCGACGACCTTGGAGTACTGCAGAGGAAAATGCATTGATGGCTGGCCTTGATCAAGTCAAAGGTCCACATTGGAGTCAGATTTTAGGTCTATATGGATCCGAGGGATCGATTAATAATGTTTTAAAAGACCGGAACCAGGTCCAGTTGAAAGACAAAGCAAGAAATATCAAGTTATTCTTCTTGAAGAGTGACTTCGAAGTACCATCGTACTTGCAGCAGGTCACGGGCGAACTGAAGACGCGGGCACCAACTCAGGCAGCTCGAAGAGAAGCAGAAGAGCGAGCCCGACTCGCTAGTGATGATGAGCGAGCTCGACTCGACGGCATTGGCATTTTGGCTGGTGGAATGCAGAATCAAGACAAGCCTGATAGTCAGACTTCCTCCCCGTCCCGGTCCATGTCACTACCAGAGGATGGACCCGAAGAGTTTCAGGTTGTCGAGCCAGAAAATGAACAATCCTCGATGCCAACATCTCAATTTGAACCGGACGAACAACTCCGCCAGGCTCTCCTGGGAGTAACGCAGACTATCCTCGCCGGAAGTTCATGATATTCGCAACGCCGATCAAGTCGTGTAATAGTGAAGTGTGATATGCACAGCTCGTTAGTTTTGGAACTGCAAAATGCACAACCAACTCATGGTCACGATTGGGTCACAAATATTTTGTATGCTATACCCCTTTTGCAAACTGGCATCTGGCTGGCTTGGTTGTAAAGAAAATCAAGAGTATCTGGAAGAAGTCCGTAACCGAGGACTACTTCAGGTATCTATCTAGCTTAACGTCCTTGGAATCAAGAGTCAACAAGCCCTTCTATATCTTCCATTCAATTGTGATTATGTGCTCAACCTTAAGAAACGATCACTGTCGTGGGGAGTAGTAGTCTGATTACATGTATCACATGAAATTCTTCTTGCTGAATTCCGCTTCCGTCCACTGCCACAACTTCTCAGCCATGTCGGGGTTGTTGGCGTGCTTGCTCGGTTTGCCAACTTTCCCCAAAGGTACGAAATACTCTCCCGACATATCTGCTTTCATGTCCTGGCTCGCGGCACAGAACACAGACGTGAAGGACCCCTTGTCAGCCGGGATGAACACCCCTAAGCAATTCAGAGTCGCGGCAACTGGTTTACTCAATGGGCCAGCAAATTGCGCGTTCTTAGAAAGGTCTGTGTATATGTGTCCTGGATGAACGGCGGCAGTCCATATCTGTCCCTCGGATTTCTTGGTGCCGTCCGGTCCATAGAATCGATTTAGCTCTTTGGCGTGCAAGACATTGGCTAGTTTTGATTGACCGTATCGAGACCAAACACCACCCCTTGTTTGGTTGGTATCTTCGAAATCAATGCCAGCCCTCGGCGCGAACGTAGCATGACCACCACTGGTGACATTGACGATACGTACGTCTCCTGGGGTTGAAACTTTGGCTGTTGCTAGCATGAGAGGGAGAAGATGATGGGTGAGGAGGAAATGAGCGAGGTAGTTGGTCTGCCATTGACTCTCGTATCCATCTTTGCTTGTTTCAAATGGAACGGCCATGATCCCTGCGTTGTTCACGAGTCCGTGGAGTCTGTTCTCTTTAGTCTTGAGCTCATTTGCAGCTGATACGACTGAAGTAAGATCCATGTGATCGAGGATCAAGAGTTGAACGTCGGCATGAGGAACAAGACCATGGATCGATGCAATGGCCGCGTTGCCTTTTGTTGAGGAGCGGCATCCCCTGTAGACAGTGTCAGTATCTTCTTCTGAAATGTGGATGGGCTTAATTCACATGTAAACTTTTGCATCCTTGCGTGCGAGGTGGAGGATTGTCTCGTAACCAATCCCTGCATTGCCACCCGTAACTAGATACACTTTTCCAGAAAGAGAGGAGAGAGAAGCAGGGTCAAAAGAAGGCATTGAGCAAGACAATTGAAGTACAATAGAGAGATGTTGCTTGGAATTGAGTCAAGTTTCAGATAATTCGATATTTGGTAGATTGGAAGAGGTAGCTGTACAATATCGCCATATAGCAAGCACTTGCTCCCCATATATATATACTTCAGCAGGACTCCTTTCATTATCGTCATGATATCTGCCTGCTCAAAATTGTTGTGCCGAATGCAGCATCATCTTGTATGAAGCGGCCGACGCGGGCTCATCAGTGTCCTCTGGAAGCCACATTGAGCTTCAAAGCCAATCGCGAGGCTGCTGGAGCGTACGCGGATGCCCGCGTGCGGCCGTGACGGCCGTGACAGAAAATAACGTCATGCTAAAAGTCCCTGGAGATGTAACACAGTAACGCAGGTCTAAGCCGGGCTTCATGACTGATAGAGAGGTCAGCTTGAGTCTCGTTGAAAGCTTTGGGGTTGTTTGTTCTTACAGTAAGATCGACTACAGAAGCAAGAGGGGAGAGGGGGGGGAACGTCGTAGAGCAGGATTTCTGGTTGTGATCTCAAAGTCCTACTCGTTGGTGGACTTTGGCATTGCGAATTTGCAAGAACAAGATTTGATAGCAGTTCAAGATTTGAAGTAACACGCGCTTTTTGTCTAGTTACCCAGCATTATGTATAGAAGAGGTCCTTCATAAAGTTTTCTAATCCAGAAATTACCGCTCTGTCTTATCGTGGACTGTGACATGAAATTATTGGACGGGCCGCTGAGTAAGAACGAAGGCTTTCAAGCCTGGAAATTAAGGATAAAAGAGAACCCGTGACTAGGTAATTTTGTTTGTCTCAGTGGAACAAATTTTTTAGCGCCCACTAGCGCAATTCTGGAAAATTCTCGAGTATAATTACTTCGTTCCCCCCCTCTGCCATCTTGCTTTTGTAGTCGATCTTACTGTAAGAACAAACAACCCCAAAGCTTTCAACGAGACTCAAGCTGACCTCTCTATCAGTCATGGAATCATCTATTTAGTAAACATCCTCTTCTGTGTTCTCTTCACGAGCCACAGACTCTACTCCCGACGATGATTTGTCCTCGCCGTTCAAGAGTGAAGCCTTTTACTTCCGAACTGTCCGCAAGGATGGCGGCGCATGGCAACATGCGCTGTATAGGAAGTGGTGATGATCTCGGCCCCTTTCGCATCGGCTTCGGCCTTGCGAACTGGGCGAATGGTGACGGAAGTCTGAGGGACTCTTTTTTCATTGTGCTCTTTGCTTAGCCAAGGACGCGAAGAAGAAATCGAACAAATATACAGAGGTCTGCGACAAATGCGCGGCGCAGCGCAACTAATTCCTCTACGACAATTGCGCAACAGCTTCACATAAGATTGAAGTCGAGCTCCAAACTACGAACCACCGAGCGCAACGCGCTCGCGTTGCGCTCGATACAACCAGAGTCCGGGACGTGCAGGAGGATGAATCTCAATCACATTCGAGATTTTGCAATACAGCTTCGAGATCCCTCCATGAACGGATACACAAAACGGTTTGCCTGTGTCGAAGTCGCATAACGTCGAAGATTTTGGCCCTGTCAAAGCTGCAATCTCTGCGAAAGGTCAAAATCACACTCCTATCTGACAGATACATATCTAGCAAGTCGAACAACACCGCTGGGGCATCTGGCATATACACGCTCTCCCGAGAAACAAAACCTATACCTATTCTCCAGCGCGGGAGTTGCCCAGGTTGCCTCGGGTCCTTTTGGGTCGATTGAGAGAATCCCGGTCTGAGTGCAATTTTTTCAATTATCCACAACCCCAGCCACATCGATATTTCAACGCCACACATATGAGAGAAGTAGGCAATGCGCCATCGCCATCGCTGCTCGAGGTAAATCATCTCACATAATCTCCAACATCGATCAGTCAAGCATTGCTCTGTTACTCAAAGTAGGTTGTGGTGGTTCAGCTCTGCTGTGGCTGTGCATGAACTTTCGGGGGCGAGAGGGTCAAATGATTCTCCGACTCAAACCCCATGACCGGCAACACGATGCCACACTATCAGCATTGCCTCGAGGTTGACTCTTTCTGTTCATTTTCTATTTTTCAACATTGTTAAGGATATGGTGTGCACGGTTGCTATCGTTTACCCCGCCAAGTCTTCTTGCAGGTCTGAAGCGCGGTGCAGTGGTGTTCTAGGATTCGATCCATGGACAGCTGAAGCAGTAAGCACTCTATCCATAATTGTCGACTTGATCTGCAAAGGAAGTTATGCTAGGAATCTGTTCCTGACTAGGCATGAATGACAACTTCCTGGATGGGTTTGTGTCTCTTACCTGTCCCACATACACTTTCTCTCACTTCTCCATGCTTCCATGTGGTTCACCTGATTTCGGTCTTGTGTAGGGCTGAATTGCTGGAGAGATAGCCTTGTCCTTTGTTCACCGAGCGTGGCCGTACGTAGACCTTAGATCATGTGCAACGAGGCTCTCTTGAAAGGGCAAACGGCTCAGGCACCTATATAGTTTAAAAGACTCTTCCTATTCATCAGTGTCCTGCGTCGTATCCAATCTTATTGCAGAAGGACGTACTTGCATATCCGTCGCTCCAATCAGGAACATAAACCCCGATTCTCGATCAGCACCCAAAGGGACCCGAATACTCTATGGTCTTCTAATTCGAACATCAAGAAAGACGATATCATAGGGGGAACACAACCAGTCGGATGTCCAGGACATATATAGAGCGCGACAGTCGCGGACGAGAGCGTCTAGTATTATCGCGCACTGGATCATATCGCAGATCTTCATCACAAGGCCGCATTCCTCTTCGGGATCTTCTCGATGAAGCTGAAGTGCGAGAAGAAGCACTTACTGCCGAAGTGAGGTCTCTACAACTTCAATTAAGTGAGTCTAAACGGTCAGAATGGCACCTCCAAAATCTACGAATCGAGCACCAAAAGGTCGTCAACGAACATTATGGCTGCCGGCATATGCAGGCACAACTCGAAGCTCAAGGCAGGGAAGTTAGGAAAGTGGAGGCTTTGCTTGCTCAAGAAGAGGATCGAAACGACAAGTTGATGAACAAGAACGAGAGATTGGAGGAGAAAATTAGACTGATGAAGCGAGGAAGTCGAGAAGGCGAGGGACTTCGAGAGGGTTATGAGCAGAAAGTCTTAGAGGTGGAAGTCTTGCGGCAGAGACTGGTTGAGAGAGACGTTGAAATCAGAGACGCCGCAGTCCGACTTAGACTTGCAGAGACTCGACTCGTGGACAAAAACGAAACAATCATATATCTCAAGGACTACCTCAGAAGCAAGGGGTTTCGCGTCGATTGAGGAGTTAGGCTTCAAGAAGGCAGCTTCCATTGTTTCCAACAAAGCGGACGAACGAACAATCTACCTTCGCCGAACAAGAACACATCAACCAAGGCTATCGTCGACGATCTAAAAGATAAATTCTTCTTTATGAAGTAATTGTCAGATTCGCCGCTCTAGCGAAGCACTCTCGGTCTTCCAATGGGAATCAGCAGCTTCGCATTCGCTGAGAGAGAGCCTCAAGATGATCGAGTACATCCACCAGATCTGAGTGAGTTGCTTATTCATTCATCCCCGGTTGCTTGTGCTGACAGTCTTGGCTGCAGGATTGACAGGTGCAGATGTCCAGACACACGCAGCTGTCACTCGGGCATGCTAAGATACCTTTTGACTTGGATCACATTGATGTTGATACAAAGCGAGATCCTCCTGGACGCATTTGATCAGGATTTCGGAGGGTTTCCAGACAATGGACTTCCAAGCAATTCATGCTTGTTGTGGGATTGAGCTCGCAGGAAGTAGGTCGGCGTGGAGAACAGCAAAGGCAACTCTGTTCGCAGCGGCCGCCAGAAGGACCACCCATTCAATATACCTACCTACAGAGAAGATCGCTCCAGGCTTCAATCACCTCGAGAGGGACTTCCACCCACACGACCACTCTCCCGGGAATAGTGTGACTGGTGCTTGACGTGATAAACAAAGTATGCAAGTATGTACTGTATGCAAGTACAGTATGCGACTCATCGCCAAATCATCAGATGATCAGGAAACCTGTGATCGTGATGGATGCATAACATGATTGTGTGATTGTGCTGCATTCCACGTGCGGAGTCATACTCGTAACGCGAACAACACACACTGACAGTGCCGGAGCCTATGTCGCAGCCTACAGAAGAGCCTCCTCCTCCGGTGTCTAGATCTGGCTGGGAAGGATGCCTACCCAGTATATCAATTGGCGTGTCTGACCCCTGGCACTTTTTCGCTCACCAGGCTCCTAGTGCAGGCAGCCGGGCGGGCAGTGCATTTCGATTCTCTTCCTCCAACCCTCGATTCTCCCCTCCTCTCCCATGATAGGTCGTCTTTTGCCCTTTTGCTCTCCGTGCAGCCATTTGGTGTGCCAGAGCCTCCAGTGATGAGTCTTCTCACGCTCCTTCTGGTTCGTTCCTTTGGCCTTAGGAATGTGGGACCACGGAACACTTGGCGGGCGGGCGTTCTGCTTCGAACTACTCGGTGTCCAAAGGCGTGCCGGCTCCCTCATGCCAAAATCGCATCTTGTCAAAACCGATATGTACTGTAGGTAGGCAGCAGTTCGAGTAGCTTCTCTTTCCGTGTTTCTCAAGTGTCATTCATAATCTCAAAAGTGCAACTGCTTCATCCTTTATATCCTCCACTCCCTCCAAACTTCCAGCTCAGCCTTGCATTATCACTCACTGTTGAGACCTGATCCATTCTACCTGATCGCCAGCCCGCCTTACATTTTTGTATCCATCGATTGGTACTTTCGGCCAGCTCACTGCAAGTTGGGCAGCATATCCCAGCCTGATCGCTTGTCACAGATCCTATCACAATGTCTTCCAAACGTGTACACTACGAGCGTGGCACTAAAGGAGGATCCCACAGCCAAAGAAGCAGCAGAGACTCTGGAATTGGGTCCGCAAGTGATCGTGCTAGTTTAGGGACTGGAGTTGATGACACCGCCTTCAGTTACCAAGAAACCCAGAACCAGAGGCGGAACATTGACGCCCTCCAAGAAGCATTGGACGCGGCATATGCAACCATCAAACAACTTGAGTCAAGCAACAAAAAGCTAAGCGACTCACTCGCTGATAGCAACAAAGAGAATCGCCAATTGAAGAAAGAAAAGGGCGGCCTTCTCGACAAGGTGGAAGAGCTATTGGTGGATCTCAAGGAAGAGCGAAAAGCCAATGACAGATTAAGAAGAGAAACATCACCACGAAGCGGGACAAGGACAACACCGCCACGAGTTGAAGCTCCTCGGCATCGCTCTGATACTTCATCAAGTGGTCGAAGAGCTTCAGTTGTATACGACATGCCGCCGCTAGCACCTCAACCTCCACCAAATCCTTTCGCTCCACTCAACACACGCTTACCTCCTGTGACATTCACACAGTCGCCGTCGGTCACTTATGCCCCCACAACCATGTCCTACACTGCTCCTGTCTACGCTCCTATCTCGCCACCCTCTGTACGGAGTCATTATTCGAGCTCATCGAGCTCATCATCACATACCAAGAACGATGGGAAATATCATCTACAACCCCTTTGATATCAGACACTCAATATGGTACGGAAATGCTGTGCGAAAAGCATAGCTAGGCAGTGAGATCACAGATCCTGCACTAAGCATAGTCCTCTTCTCCCCCTTCAGCTCTAGAAAATCTAGAAGCTCTATCCCGTCGAAAAATCTCGCCGATCTAGCCAGAAGACTGGTACTTTAAGACGCCACTATATTGCATCGGGATCATGGCAGTCACCAACATCGCAAGTCTCTGTGGAAATAAGACTTGCGACAAAATCTGGAGTTTGGGTGTCGGAATGGATGAGGGACTAGGTTCAACGACTGTTTTGTACAATGAATGTATTCGGGAAGGACTTCTCGCGGCGTTGTTTGGACTTTTGATAAGCGTATTGTATTGGTCTTGGTAGCGGTCTCATGGAGACACAGGGCCAGGTATTTTGGCTACAATTCAAATGAATCTCATGTATTCTTAGTTATCGGCCACGTTGTAATCCCTAGGAGTTTTATAATAACAATTATCTGATAAATTCAGACATCCGCTTCCACATCTTCAATATGCACCACAAAGTGATCCAGCATTACCAACAGAGGGAAATATTGATAGACATGATTAAAACGTACACACAAAATACCTCTTTCAATATTCCATCGTTCATGTGTTTCATTTCTCATCATTTTATACAGTGAAACCAAGTATCTAAAAAAGCACCTCCATCCTGATAAGTGCCCTGTGTTATACACGGTATTTGAGCATTCATGGTAACGCCCCCAGATGCAGAATCCACCCAACGCCATATTCATCGTGTCGCAATCACATGTCCTAATTACAAGAAGTATTCGCCTGCGCCACGACGCCCAGCTGGAACTGCTCTCTGATCCTCGGGAACTGCGGAGAAGATGCTGAATTTAGGGTTCAGATCCTCACCAACATTCATGATGGAAGCAACATTGCCACAGCGATAACAGTAGTTGGGTGCTGACCAGACAGTTACCACGGACTTGTTGGAAAAGTGATACTAAAGCCAGTTAGCAATAAACTCCCTGGAGGCAGGCAAATGAACTTACTTTATAGCCCTCATTTACTAGTTGATGAGCACGAGCAATGAGTTTCAGACCATTGACATGATTGAACTCTGTAGCAACTTTGTCACCGAAAAGCCAGCCAGCACCACGTGGAGAAACAGCCCAGGTTTCAACATCTTCAGGGTCACTCCAAACTAAATCACAGAAGGCTCCTTCGTGTGGAATTTCCTGTGCACGTGCTACAACACGAATCTGGTCGACTGTACGAATTTCCGGACTTAAGCCACCATGAACACAGAGAACCTCGCCGTCAACAATCGCGGCCAGGACGAGGAAATCGAAGACTTGGCAGCATGACTTCCAAACAGAGGCATTGCCGTACTTCTGTTGACATTCTTCGTAGAAACCATAGACTTGAGTAATTTGGCGCGACTCATGGTTACCTCGAACAAGTGTGATTTTATCCGGGTACCTGAATATATTGTCAGTCTTAACTCCTGCTTTTGCGCGACCAATATCAGCACTCACATTGCCTTCAAGCACATCAACAACGTGAAAGTTTCAAGACTGAAATAACCACGATCGACAAAGTCGCCAAGGAAGATGAAGTTCTGGTTTCCACTGCCAGATATCTCATTAACACCGATAGCGGAGTCTCCTCCAGCGCTCCCGCCACGGCTTGATGCACCAGCTGTGCGAGGTCGACCTCGTTCTTCCTCCTCGTCGTCATCCTCGCCACTCGCACTCTCGATACCGCTGTCAGAGCTGCGGATCTTTTTCTTAAGCTTAGGGTTGGTAATTTCGGTTGGGGGCTCGATGTCATCAGAGCTGATGATGGTAGTCTGCGTTGTAGGCTTTTGAACGTTCGTCTCGCCGGGCATGCCACCTGCGATGCGGAAGAGCTCCAGCAGATCGTAAAATTGGCCGTGTATATCGCCACATATCGTAACTGGCGTGGAGACTGGTTGAATGTTGGATTCTGCGAACTCTGATTAACTTTTTGGTTGACAATAACTGCCGAACCGCATACCCTCCATAAGACACTCCTTCACCATCTCGCAGAGTTGCTTCATAATAGCTTCAGGAAGATAGTGACATTGCTTTGCCTCCTCGAGCCACTCCTCGAGACCAGCATTCTTGCTAAGCTTGGCTGGGCCAGGCTTGGGAACATTGGGAGCAGGCATCTTTCTCGGGGGAAGTGGTAGTGGTCGTGATAAGATGTTATCGAGGTCGAGCTGTCGGATAAATAATGAATGTCTTCAAGATCTTCACTCTTGCTACTTCGCTGTTTGAGATGTCGCTATTGAGAACTGGATCCTCGGTCTGATCGAATTCCACTGGAGTTTCCAGTTCTCCATCCTCGATTCACTGGCTCGTCTAATGAGCGACGGAAAATCGTTATCCCGCAAGTTCCGAGGTGTGGATGCTGCGATAACCTCGCGGGGTTAGCAAACAATGAAGTCCAAACCAAGACAGATTACCTGCATCACTGTCGCAACCACTCTCAAAGGCCTCACGGTTCTATCCGATTAATCATTCAGCACTATGGGAACGTCAGGGATGGAGAACGGCAGCCGTGCTCAAACAAATGGAGTTCTCGCCGTTACAGCTTCCCAGACATCTGGTACTTCTTCTCGATCAGCTGGAGTCAAATCGTCAAACCCGAAACTAAAAGTTATCATTCGAAGACTGGCTCCTAGCCTTACGGAAACAGAATTCACAACGATTCTCGGGGAACAATGGAGACCTGGCAAGGGTCAGATTGATTGGTTTCTCTATAAGCCTGGCAAAGATTCCAAAGAGTATGGGGCAAACCCCAAATCTTCGTTGCGCAGCTGCTGAAAATCTGCCAGTCCATCTAAACCTTCTAGACCCTCGAGGGCGTATATGCACCTGACCAACGAAGGATATCTCCACGCCCTATATGAAACTGTTCAAGAAGCAGTCTTCGAAGATGCCCACACGACGTTCACCAGTCCCTGCCTGATTGGCCCTCCCAGTGTCGAGTTTGCTCCTTATGGCCGAACACCTGGAGGTCGAAGGCGTATTGATGCCCGAGCAGGTACCATTGACCAAGATCCAGAGTTCATGGCCTTCCTCGAAGGACTAGCTAATCCTACCTCAACGAAGGAAGTCAGCGCAGACGCATTGACGGACAACACCTCAGGCAAGCAAGATAAAGTCACGACAACTCCACTTGTACAGTTTCTGAAGGACAAGAAGGCGAACAAGAACAAGGATGCAGCAGTGAAGCTCGCCAAGAAACAAGAAACTCAACTCAAGAACAAGTCTTCCAAGGATTCTCCGTCGTCATCAGTAGAAGACGGTAAAAAGAAAAGCAAAGATGTCAAGGTGGACAAATCTCTGGAGAAGGCAGCGAAGGAGGCAGTGAGAATCCTCAACAGAGAAGCTGCTGCGAAGTCGGGTGTCTCTGAGTTGACTCAATCCTCGGAAGCCACCACTTCACAAGCATCAACACCGCCAAAATTAGATGTCACCAAGGTCCCTGGCCGGCAAAGATCGGCAGTCGTTGCAGCCCATATTCGTATGTTACAGCGTGATCTTGGATTGACTCCCGCTCAGGCCCATCGACAAGTGAGGCGTGATACTGCAGATGCTCAAAAGGCCGAGAGAGCTGCTGCTGCAGCCGAGAAAGCAGCAAGTGAGACGAAGGAATCCTCAGCGTCGCAACCGCAAGCAATGGCAAGTTCTTCGAGACCGCCATCTACTCAGTCCAGAAAAGTTCGGGGCAAGGCAATTGCAACTACCGAACCACAATTGAACAAATCCTCCACTACTTCGTCCGCAGCTCCTCCTGCCCCGGTCGTTCTTTTGAGGAAGCCTGATACTCAACAATCCTCTCAAGTAACGCTACCATCTACGCATCCACCCAAACCAACCCCATCTGTACCAGCGTCGGTCGCCCGCAAGTCACAGACTGCTGTTGCTGTCCCGTCATCAGGCGCCACACAAGCATTTGTCAAGCATGCCAATCCTTCCCAGGGTGTAACTGAAGCACTCCTCAAGGAGGCTATGGAGAAGTATGGAGGTGTTTCCATGGTAGAGATTGATAAGCGGAAGGGTTTTGCCTACGTTGATTTCGTCGACACAGATGGTCTTAAGAACGCAATGGCAGCAAATCCCATCTCGGTAGCTCAAGGAACGGTCCAAGTCATGCAGCGAAAGGGGACCGCCCTGCCGCCAGAGAAGAAGCCACCTCACCAAGCTCCACAAGCCCTTTCTAGAGGTGGTTCTCGAGGTGGCAGGGGCGGGACTATCAGACGTGGTGGTAGAGGGGGTCTAGGTGGTCGAGGTGGAGGAAGTGCAGCCAATACTTCGGAAACCAAAGCCCCATCTGCTGCACCCACCGGACCGGCTGTTAAGTGAGCACGGGAGAAGACCTTGGAGAGTGTATCATAGCATCGTCCAACATAATATAATGCCTCTCGGTCCTCGAACTATCACAATCTGTGATATAGATTTTGCAACGCATCGAAGGAGGAGAACGACGCTTTCTGACCATCGTGGTTTATATGTGGCGAAAGCGTGATCACCAGATCACGAACTATTGCAGAGGAAGGGCGTTTGAGGCAGAGGGGACGATCTGTCGAGGATTGTCGAGAACAGCATGGGCATATCAGCTCCTTGTCGGAACTATAGCATGGTAGTCAAGTACTCGCAAGACGTTTGGCACAAATAGACACTGAAAACATGAATTTCACGAGAAATTGCAATCATACCAGTTCCACGATCACGACGTTTCTCACTCCTCTGTAAATTGAAAGACGTTGAGCACGAGTTTTTGACGTGTCACTGATGCAAACATTGGATGGAAACGGCTCAAGTCACCTGGGACGATGGTCGCAGCCATTCGTTATTGCAGACTAACAGGAGGCTCATGATTGCGGGCGATTCCCTGGGCAGGGAGCTACTTGAAGATATCTCATGTCATGGATGGACTTCGGGCTGCAGCAATATTTTAGCGGTTCAATCACAAGGGCATTGCAGAAAATGGTTCAGGTGTTCGAAGTTTCATGATTCATCGATTGCTCAGCGCCCGACGCTGGCGAATAATATACACCCAAAGCATGTTCCGTAAAAGCAAGGTAGAACTCCGTCCCATAACCGTGTCAAAGCCCATCCCATCCCATTAATTCTCCTCCAAATTCCCTCCGTCTATCAGCACCCCATAGTGAAATGCATCAATGTTGATGGAAAATGATGGCGAACTCCCGAAACCACTAAGATCGCTCTCCTCTCAGTCTGCGGGCGAGTTGGATGTCCTTGGATTGAATGGTGACACGCTTGGCATGCTAGATTGTTGTTAGTAATCAGAAAGTTGGGCTGCGTCGGGGGTGACTTACGATAGCGCACAAGTTGGTGTCCTCGAACAAGCTGACCAAGTAGGCCTCGACAGACTCTTGAAGAGCACCGATGGCGGAAGATTGGAAACGAAGGTCAGACTTGAAGTCCTGGGCAATCTCACGAACCAGACGTTGGAAGGGGAGCTTTCGGATGAGGAGCTCAGTCGACTTTTGGTAACGACGGATCTCACGGAGAGCGACAGTTCCTGTGAAAATGTTAGAGGCGTCGATGAAGGCGAGATAGATGAATCTTACCTGGCTTATATCTGTGGGGCTTCTTGACACCACCGGTAGAAGGGGCGGACTTGCGAGCAGCCTTGGAAGCAAGTTGCTTACGAGGAGCCTTTCCTCCAGTGGACTTTGGAAGATGTCAGTAAAGATCAAAGATGAACGCGTCGCAAAGGTATGCGCGTCGCGTTGTTGTGGTGGGGAAGATTGAGGCTGAAGATCAAATCACTTTTGCGGTCGCAATCTGGCAAAAGCCAAATCGCGACGACAAGGCGATCGCGATCGAAAAGAGGGAAGTATCTTACCTTACGGGCGGTTTGCTTGGTACGGGCCATTGTGAATGAAGTCGATGATGGATTTGATGAAGGTTGTTGAAGTAATTGTTGGAAGTCGAGTTGTCGAGAAGATGTTGTTGATGAGTGGATGAGGAAGGAAGATGGAGAGGTGGGAGGGGCGATAATATAGCAGCAGCGGCTTCTCGCTTAGTTGGTTGATTGCAAGTTTAGCGTGGTCTTGTTCTTTGAGTTTTGAATCCGGAAGGCGCGCCAAATCCCAACTTGGAACCTGCAAAAAAAGCGACTACTTTCAAGGGTATGAACTCCGCAACTTTTACCAGCCAATCAGAAATCGGGTTTTCTTTTTCTATCCGTGAATGAACGCAACACCAGAATCTTGTGGCAAACTCTTCCATTCTGGTGGTGCCTGCCTACGTATGACTCATTGGAATTCGTTAATGGTGAATGTTCTTTTGAACCTGAGAATGTGAATGTGAATGTGAATGTGCATGCAATCGCAATTGTAGATTCAACCTAATAATAATTCTGCTGTGATGACTCAAGAAACTTCCATTTGCTGTTCAATTCACTGTGTTCCGCGCCCATTCTGTTCTATCGCTCCATTTTCATTTTCATTTTCCATTTTCCTCTGCTGCAACAGCAGCAGGGTGCGGCCAATCAGCACAGCGCCATGGAACTTTGTTGATGGCACCTCTTTCGGGTTAGCGCCAACTGGCTTTGTGATTGCCGAACGCGCCTCAATTCTCGCGACCTTGATATAACTTCCCCTCCTCCAACTCTTCTACCACTTTATCAGTCATCCATCAACTCGACAACATCTTTTCGTCAAGACTCCGGTCCATCAATACAACAACTTCAATCACTTCCCAACCAATAAATCTTTCATCATGACTGGACGTGAGTACTTCTTCCTCATCCTCAACCTTCCCCACACTCGTCTTCTCGACGCGTCTTCAGCAACGACAAACACAACAACGTTTGGAGGAAGTTCGTACTGACGCGTTTCACAGGCGGAAAAGGTGGCAAGGGCCTCGGAAAGGGTGGAGCCAAGCGACACAGAAAGATTCTTCGTGACAACATCCAAGGTATCACAAAGCCAGCCATCCGTCGTCTTGCGCGTCGTGGGTAAGCATCTTCTGTTCCGCACTTGAAGCTGGGACCAGCACTAACAAGAGCACAGTGGTGTCAAGCGTATCTCAGCTATGATCTACGAAGAGACCCGAGGTGTTCTCAAGACCTTCTTGGAGGGAGTTGTAAGTCACCAGAACCATGTCCCGCCATCAAACGATACTAACTTTCATGCAGATCAGAGATGCTGTTACCTACACTGAGCACGCCAAGCGAAAGACTGTCACATCTCTCGACGTTGTCTACGCTCTCAAGCGCCAAGGTCGCACCCTGTACGGTTTCGGAGGTTAGACGTGGATTTGGGATCATGGTGCAACGTTTTCACGAATTTCTTCCTTGGCTGATGAGGCTGGAAGATGGGGTTCGCAATGGGATATGGTTTTGCTTTTCGGTGTTTATTGTATCATAAGGATATGGGGACTTCACAGCATGGTTGATACTCCATGAGATAATCAATCCAATCACATCACAGCCAATGCTTTTTTGAAACTTCGAGTGAAATGCTATGATTTAAGACTATCTTTGCTTCGGGAGTGGTTTATGTTCAAACTTCCCCGGTGTTCTAGCGGGTGCCGTCGCTGTGACAGACCAGATCAGGTTGAGATGCAAGAGGTGATCCATTCTTAGAATACTAAGGTGAAGAGCTGAGGACAGCTCTCAGGAGTGCTTATATACAGGATTCTGCCAGGCGGT